ATATTTTTCTGTAAGATACTTTTAATTATAACAATTACTAATGTAAAGTAACAAAAACGTTGTGTTTACGGAAGAAAGTATAAATAAAAAAATTTAATAGTAAATGTAATAGCATATATATATATTTTAATTCTAATATTATTGGCGATACTTCCGCCTTATTTTGTAGGCGGAAAAATGCATTAATCATTTCCTCAAAGAAATTTTATAAATCATTGCATAAATTAAAATTCGTAAATAAATTATACGATAATAAATTTAAATTCGCACAGAAATTAAAAATCGTAAAATTCGTGACAGTAACTCCCGAAATAAAGATCGATGACGAAATCAGGCGAATAGGACTTTTTAAAAAAGAGATACTCACATAAGTGCTTCGTTTCGAGATTCGGTTGTTATAATAAATAATATCGTATAAAAAATATTGGATTTCAAAAACTATATGGAAATCAATAGCAATTACTGCCAAAAAATCGTTAGAAAAAAATTTGAATCATTGTGTCAAAATTAAATACTCAAATGCACGATTCAAATTTCCAATATTGTCTAAAATATATTTTTATTTTATATATATCAGTTGTTGAACAGCCGACCCAATTTTGGGTTCACGACAACTAATGTTCAACTCTGTATATAGCCTAATTTTAAACCAATCCAGAAGACAAGGAAATTCCTGGATCAGTACCCCCCCCCCCCAAGAGGTATGATTTGTTATGGGAACATGGATGGCTTTGTGACTCGACAGATTTAACGTGCATCAGTGACTACTACACGGGATCTAAAATACATTGGAATATTTAAAATCCGCGATAAAATCAATAACTACCGAAAATTCAATCGAAACTCACCAAAGATATTTATGATACTATCGACTTAAAATGAGCGCGTCAAAAAGTGAACCACTAAGAAATCAGAAGCACTAGCAAAAACTGCCGAAAAAAGCGTCACATTTAAAAAAAATAATTATCAAACTCGCGATTTAAATTTCCTGCATACTAAAATTGCATAAAAAATATCGGGATTTTTTTTAAAAAAAATGAAAATTTGTAGCAATTACTGTCGAACAAACGATTGAAACACAGCATGGATTAACGATGATATCTTTGCAAACCGAGTGTAACAAAGAGTAATTTCTTTAATGAACGATTTAAATTTCGAGTGTTGTAATATCGTTTTCTTTTTTTTTCTTCTTCTTAAATCATAAAAACATCAATAGTAATAACTGAGCAATGAAAGGAATTGGAATTTTAAGAAACCAAATGAAAATTCATAGAAATTATTGCCCCAAAAAAAGATTAAAACACTACATAAATTTGCGCTGAGTCGACGAGAGTCTGCTTTCTGTAACGTTCTGCCACAAGGCTCTGCATTTTCTTCCAAATTCATTTGTTGTTTATTTCGTTGAAAGTTAGACTGAAAAACGCGTTATATTGTAAGCACTACAAGTATAATTATATTGAAGGGCGAGTTTTTCCATACTTAGGATTAAAAATCAGTTGGAGGAAGTAACCCGGAATTCTTATGGCAAATTTTAACCCCTAGCGCTATCTGCGCTTAGCTCTACACAGTCAACCAGCCATACACACCATTTAAAAGTCTAAGAATTTAATTTGTAAACTGGTCAGAAAATGACTTTAAAACCAAAATAGGATAAGATATAGTTGCAATTTTATAGCAAAGAGGAGAAAGAGAACAGTATAGTTAACAAATTCTCTGCAAGCATTAGAAAAAGAGGGACATTTGGAATTATTAAGTTTAGCAAAAGCTGAATCAACTATAGAAAGGTTAAATCTAAATCCATGGTTAGCAGCAAGTGAGAAATATATAGTCAGAACAAATGTTAAGAGATCCGAAAATGAAAGAGTAATTGTAATGCAGAAATCGTCCGGCAATTAGAATTAACATGTATGTCTAGAGACAGCAAAACGTTTATGATTAACAAAGGTGAGAAAATGATTGGGGTGATGAGTAATAACAAAAAATTCTAAAAAATAGTAAAATTCAGTTTCGTGTTAAAATTATATTGAATATTGGGGTTAACCAAGTGACAACAGAAATTAACTCTTTTCAAATCATGCATCACTCTCTAGTAAGATTAACTTATAGTTAATATATCGAAAGGTTCCCATTCAATTTCAGAAAAAAAATTCCCTGACTTTCACAGGTATATTTATTTCAATGAAAATTCAGTCTATATTTTATTTATACCGTGCAATTTTTCATCAGAAAACTTTGATTTTTTTTATTTGTAATAATATATATCATTGAATAAAGATGGAAACATGTCATTTTGACTAAAATGTGAAATTATTACAAATAAATGCAATATGAGGGCACTGGAACCATGTAACAAAGGTCAGGGGTTTGAACCTTGCAGGCCGAAGACCCCGTGTAGTAAATGGTGACTGATGCAAGTTAAATCTGTCGAGTCACTCAAGTCCCCCATGTTCCCATAATAAATCATACTTCTGGGGGGTATTGAAAGACTTTCCTTGCCTTCTGGATTGGTTCAAAATTATGAGGTTACAAATTTGAACATTAGTAGGCATTGTTCCCTCCAAGTAACATTATTTCTCTTTCTAACTCTGGTTGCCAATAGTAACAACGGCATGCGCACTTCTCAAAACATTGAAGAACCGAATTTTAATTCTCAGTCGATTTGTTGAATTCATATAGATGTTGAGCTTTAACTTGAACATCTTGTAAACACTTTTCTTTTCCTTTATTAAATATACTTAGATTTGACTGTTGATTTAGAATTGCTTACATTATTTCTTAAAAGGATTTTTAGAATTAGATTTTTATAAATGAACCCCCATTTGCATGTAAACCCGAAATTCGGTTGGCTGTTCAACGATGGTTATAAAATAACTATAATAAACGTTAGAATTATTTAATTTCTATTTTAATAACTGATTACTGTTATTGATAACTGAAAAACTGATAGTAATTTTTCAGGTTTTTGTAAAAAATTGCATTTCCCCCCGATTTTTGGAATTAAAATAAAATTCTCTGACGATTGTAGATTTTTCCATGAATCCCAGGTTTGCACCTTGAAAATTTAAGCAATTTAAAGACCTCTTCTTCAAAATAATTTGTTGCAGGGAGCTTATGCATTTTTCTTTAAATAATAATAAAAATTAGGAGATTTTATTCAGTTTAAGAACATCAGTGGAGGAAAAAAAGCTTGATGATAAAATTGTCTTAAAAAAATTTCTTTGGGGGTAAAAAGGATCTTATTTAGGAACCTGCATTTCGCATATTTCACCCTATCTTGTGAGATTTTAAGTGCATTAACATTTTTTGCATACATTTACAAACTTCATTTATCTATATTTTACATCATTTCACACTATTGGATTTTAAGAGATAAAATAAAAATGGAAATTAGTCAATTAGTTTTTATAAAATGAAAACTTAAAAATGCTGCGTTTCAGAAATTTTATAACTTTATATATAGAAGCTCTCTTTGCAAACCTTACATAATTCTAAAATTAAATAAAATAATAACATAATTATTGAAAGTTATTTTTTAACTTAAATTATCTTTAAATGAAAGAAAATTATAATACTATGAATAATGTTTTGCTTTGTTTACAAATTTCAAGAGATATAGCGACATATTCATAAAAATATAATGACAATAAGGATTTCAAAGATTTAACCATTCGTTTGCCTCAACTATTGGGAACATATTTTTTTTTGGATTGCAGCTAATTTCCCAGCCTACATTTTAAGAGTCAAGAATAGAAATTCTCAAGAAAAAAAGTATTTTATTCAAATGCTCCACAATAGTTAGCCCTAATTAATTATTATATTTGATTTGGTATCAACCCTTTGAAACATTAAGATACTTTTAATTTGTGAGAAATGCACCATCACAATAAAAGCTATTCAAAGTGATATCTTTTTCTTTTTTCGGTACACTGTAAATTTAACAAACCAATGGCGAGTGCATTGAATCTTTCCGATTTATTTTTGTGAGAAACTTTGAATTTTCAAGATAATAAATACATACAAATAATTTTTTTTTAATGTCACAAAGCGTTTCCTTCCCTCTCAAATTATTTGGCTGAAGTGAAACTTATTTTTAAAAACAGAATTATAAAAATCTCTGTGCTAGTTTGCAATTCTAATATCATATTCTATTGATGCCTTGAATTTCTCTTAATTATATTTTAGAATACACTAACTATTTTTACGTCATAGGCAGGACTGATATCGATAAAGTAAAAAATTATAGGTAGTAATGAAGGTTTCACTTATATACGGTTAGAGATCACTTTCTTAATAATGGATCCTCGTTAGGCTTCCGCAACTAACAATAAAAAAAGATAGAAACAGAAATTTCTCTTCTGTGGGAAACTAATTTTATAAGTGAAGTTTAATATTCATAGTGCGATACTTAAATTTTATATTTAAATGTAAAATATATTTTTACAATACATTTTTAATATGTATTCTAATTCTATTGTATTTTTCTGTTTTCTGCTTACTTTCTAAGTATTGTTGTCTTAACTAATTTACTCTTTTTATTTTTATTAATCCAAAAAGCATACCAGGCAATTAAATTTTCACATAATCTATTATTTAAAAGATTCCAAAAAGATTATATTGATTGATATTAAATTAGGGGGAAACTAGATTTATTCTTGGGCATTGAATACTCTGCTATGCTTTTGCTACTCTACCTACATGTTATTTCAGAACTTTTAGGGCTTTTGTATAATTTTGTGAAGAGAAAAAATTGTGTTTTTCTTCCTGTTTGCCTTTAAAAACTTAATATTCAATGAATACTTTCTCTGAGCTGCATTTAAATTTTTCATAAAAAAAGCACCGTCTCGTGAATGTGATTTTAAGAGTGACAGTGAAAAAAAATTATATCAGCATTAAAAATTTTGTTGGTAATTAGCTTTCTTTAAAGGATTTATGAAACTCTAATGTATCTAAATATTTTCTATTTGAAAAGAAAATTTGGCAAATTTATTTACAATTAATAATTGAGAAGACACATTTTTATATACAAATAAATGCAATAGAGGTTACAACAATATAAACAAAATAAATAACATTGATAAGTCTGATTTTGAACAGGAAGCAATAGAGGTTATTTTCACACTTTTGCCTGAGAAAGAATTCCTAAATACTCTCCTAGTTTATCATCTGCAAAGGAATAAAAATTATACATACATTATTCCTAAATGTTACACAAAACATAACATATGTAAACATATAGTAATGAATACTTTTGTAGTTTTACATCTAAGTTAAACATTTGATGAGTACAAATAAAAATGAATGGTAATATATATTTAAATTTTCCATTTTGTTATATTCCTCCCTTTATTGGCTTATTTTTGACTATGGTACTTGTTCATGTAGGGTTAAAAAATTTTTTGGAAACACTTGTCTCTTTAATTATGCTCCTAATTTCTGCTTTTATTACATATATTAAAAAAAAACTACATTTAACACACAAATATTAGTTTTAGGAATGTAACAGGCTTTTACTTAAATTAGTAAAATAATATATTTATAGAATTTTATAGTCAAAGTGACAGGCATAAAAACATTGTAGATTGTTTAGATAACTTGCTTTGTTGACTGAAATTTTATGCCTGCAAGACAATTTAAACAGTAAAACACATAAAATACTTTTATTTAAAATTAGCATCAGTTACGTTTTCAGAAAATTACTCTTTGTAGTTTAGAAAACAATAACCAAAGGATAAGGTATACATGCATATTTTTATTTATTAGTAAATGAAAAAACACTCTACTATTTCCATAATAATAAAGTATTATCTCATTTAAAGGAAGCATTGTCATTAGAAGGGAGCATTGTCAAAATGAAGTTTTAAAAAAAATATGCACATCGGGGTTGCAAATTATTATTCCAGAGAGGAAAAAAATTATGATGCTACAAAAATGTGAAAAATTGAATGAATTTTTTTTTTTGTGTGCCTTTTACCCTAAGTCTCATGACTACAAAATTTAAAAAAATTGAGGTTATTTATTATGTTTTAAAAATGAAGCTGTAGCACCTACAGGAGGGTGCCTCTGGAAATGTGTATTTTATTAAAGCCTGTTGGCTTATAATTCAAAAATAAAAATTATTGGATTAAACCTATAACAGCAGTAGCTGATTGATACAAATTCTGCTCCCGGGTCATTAACTATTAGTGCTAAAGTAAAATATCCTTAGTGGTAGAAAAATCAATGGTTAGAACCCCCTTGCCGACAGGCTAACTGTGGAAGGTTGTTCTTTTCCTGCAATGCAAATTCAGGTTAGTTCCATCAAAAAAGTTCTCCACAAACGCTAATTTATTCTAATGTTTGAAGATAGAGTTTCTTTGCCTTCTGGGTCGGGTTCAAAATTACAAAGCTATGGAGCTGAACATTGATAGTTGTGAACTTAAAACCGTGTCAGCTGTTCAACCCTGGTTACAAAATAGAATGTTTGTTCATGTTCCAAAACCTGTTACCTGTAAACATTTCATGGAATACCATTGAACAATATTCAAAAATACAATACAAAGTATTGTTATTTTTTAACTTGTCTCTTCATTATTTCAAAATTAATGAAATTTGTAATAAAATAATATTTATTCTAACCTGATAAGTATTTTGAAGCAATCTGAAGACCAGAAATATCAGTTTTTAAAATTTCTAATTCTGAATCCAAAGATTTTAGGGAAGTAGCTGAATCTTTCACCTAAAAATGTAAGCAGAAATATGAATTAAAAAATTTCAAAAATTGAAACTTACAAAAGTCTTAGTTTTATATTTTAGTTGTTATAAGAATTTATTTAAGACAAAGTTTATTAAAACACTTCACTCACTTTTAAAAGAGAATTTAACTTTTCATCTGTAGCCTTAAATGCTGGTCCTATATCAATGAATTCTTCAGGTTTAACATTTGATAAGAATGGTTTTAAATTGTTATAAACACTGTCAAAGGTAGTTGCTAAATTTTCAAGATTCTTTAGAGACAATGCAATGTTATCTTCTGTTTTACTCAGAGCAACCTCTTCAGGAATTATTTCGTTCTGAAATTGAGACATTTTCTTATTCTCGTCATAATTTTAAAATTATAAGCAAATGTTAACATATATTCAAAACATAAAATTGTCGAATAATACGTTAGGAACGCTTATAAAAAATTATTGCACTAAAATTAGTAAGCATAGCATATTTAATCTAAATGAAATAGAAGAATGGGAAACTGGAATTAAACTGTCCAAGTACATTATAGAGTTGATGCAGTGAAAATCAAATAAGAAAATATCCAATATCATTAGTATAAATTTTTTTTATTAAAAAAAAAAAAAAATATTGGTTGATTACGTGTGGCAATGTAAGAGTTATTTAAAATAACCATGTTACATTGATGCAACATTAACTCGGAAATTTCTAAACATGTATGTAGCACATTCAAGTACATTAATAAAAAGATAATCATACTTCTTCTTAGTTTTATTCCATAACTTTTATTACAAGGACAAGCTATTCTTCAAATCAGAAAATCATTACCAGATAATATAGACACATTCACAGAAGTTCTTAATTCTTAAATTTTACACATACTTTTCAAAAATAATTTCACTTTTTAAATGATAGTTACTTTTCAACAAAAAATTTTGCATTTGTATTAGCACACATATCTAAAAGGGAAAGATACAGCTTAAGAAAAATGAATATTCTCTACACAGATTGTTTAATGGAAATAATAAGCATAATTAAAAATTTAAGCATGATGTTTTTGCCATTTAAAGCATAAAATCATTCTGTTATAAAAGAATAATATGAGTGAATATACTTTTGAATTGTGTGCCTGGATAACTTATTTGTTTATCTTTTTTTTTTATCCTACTCTGCCAATCATTATGATTTAAATCTTTGTTAATAAAAACATTTGTCAGACAGAACTTATAGATTTAATAATTAAATATAGAATACTTTTTTTTCTTCATAAATATAATTAAGGCTTACAAATCTCAGAATTGAAATTAATTATTTAAACTAAAATAACTAAAGAGAAACTAATTATTTAGCATATTAGTTTAAAACTTAATGTTTATAATAAAGAGGGCATTTGATTTTTCATATCACAAGAATGCAGTTAAAATGTATAATTATATAATTAATCATTAAAGTAAAACAGCTGATAAAAAAAAGTTCATTCTACATTTTTTAATAATTCATAAAATAATGTTCAAGTATAAAACTTTTAATTTGAGTATTAAAGCTCAATGATAAATTTTTTTAAATGTTAAAATAAAATCCAAGTAGTCAAAATAATTTTCTTTCAATTGGAACAGAATGATAAACGGTTTAAGTCTATAGTACATAAGGGAGAAAGAGAAAATTGCAATTTTTCCAAAATGTGATGTTCATACTATTAATGTTTTGAACACATTATAAATATAATCTTTTATAACACCAACTGATTGACAGTACTCACTAATATACTATACTTGTTAAGCTTTTACTGCATACAAAATTTATAAACAATAGTGAGGCATGAAAAATGAGACCAACCTACAAAATATCCCATTGTATAAGTCAACCTTTCAAATCCCAAAAATATTAGAAAAATCAGGGGGTAGACTTATACACTGATAATAATATCGGACATTCGTTGATCCTGAAATATTGATACATTGTACACAATGAGAAAGATATGAATAACTCTGTATAAATTTTCCCCTTTAAAAAATGATTTTTTAAACATGTAATAAATTTACATAACATTTATATAACATTACTATTATTTACATAACATTTATAAAACAATAAATTTTCCATGTTTTTTTAGATATTTTTTTCTCAACAAACAGAGATAAGAAATTAAAAAAACACTACTTTAAATTACGTTTAGGAAGAAAAAAAAATTAAGAACAAGAAAAGTTAATTCATTCAAGAGTATTTCAAAAAATATATCGCAATTGAAACTCTTAGAATATAATAAAGTTACAAATTAAAAGATTCCAGAACATCATCTGTGTCGGATTCAATTATGTTAGTACTGTCATCATACAGATCCCACTCTGCAATGGATTCTACTTCATTCTCATCTGCTGAATTCCACGAAAAATAGTCTTCACTCTCATCCAAAGAATTCGATATTCCATACTTTTGAAATGATTGCACAATAACATTTGAATCTACATTTTGCCATGCATTTAGTATAATTTATCATTTGACGTGCCAAGTATCATTATTTGAGGTGGTGCCTCAGAGCATCTTTATTAAAGGACAAATGTATCACACCTAGAGAGAACAATCTGTACAAAAATTTCTCCTAAAGAACATAAAATGTCTCCTTGTTAGTCAGTATCGAAAAGCATTTGATGGCCTAAGATCTAAACAAACAAGATTTAGTATTGATTTTGAAGGGATGTGCCAATGAGCATACTGTATATAGTCTGAAGTTTTGGTTAGCAACAGTGAGTCACAATACTACTACTACTGTTCATAATAATATTATGGTATCTTGCAAGAAATAGATATTTTAGTATCTTGGCAAAAATAAATATTTTAGTATCTTGATACTTTACTTCAAGCTTTAAGTCACTACAATTAATTGCAAATATAACTACACTGTGATATAATTTATTTCCTTTGTATTTTAAATTCTGATTTTTTAGAAAGGTTGGAACAGTATTTTTAAAATGTTGAAACTTAAAAAAAAAAAAAAAAAAAAAAAAAACTTTTATGTTATATGTATATAGAATATACAATAATTTCATAGCAATCTTCTGAAGAGCTATGCTTCTTCAATTTAGGTTATTTAAAAGAGCTAAAATAAATAAATATTAAAAATTACTTCAACTACATTGATAATTTATTTTATGAAACTAATGTTTCACCACACAATTGCGATCTAATATTTAATAAAGTAAAATTATATATTCTAATTTAAATTATTATACTCTAACTTATATCTTTAACCAAAATTCTGTGACTTAGATATTGTGTTAGATAAAAAAGTAACATAACTTCAAATGTAATACCTCTATCTCTTCGAATTCTATATTTTTTTGTTGAACAGTTGTATAATGGTTAATGTCTGTTTCCACTTTTGGTTCACCGTATCTTTTAAAATAAATTTCCTTAATTTCTTCTGCAGTAAGAGAACCACCACTAAAATAATAATATATAAATCATCAATAATGTTTGTAAATATTAAGTATAACGAATAACTTTTACTGCAATAATTTAAAAAAATTTTTTAGGGGTGAAAAATAATAAATGGTGAAAAAATTCACACTTATGATCAATACATTCCAATTTATCATAGGTAATATATTAATTATTTCAAAAGCAATAACTTAAAGGCAATCTTCAAATCAGTAGATAAAGATGAAACATTTCAGGAAAAAAACCCATAACAGCAACTCTGAGAGTGGGCTTTGTAACGAATCAAGCTATATTAAAGAAAAGGTTCTTTTTTATCAAAACATTTATTTTACTATTACACATATACTAAACAAATTTTAATTGAAATACCCGTAACAGGTTAGTTATAAATTTTCAAAATAGATGGGAATACGGGTTAGTATGAACCTTAAATTTAAAAACAAAAACTCTACTAAGAAAAAATCAACAAATCTCTGATATTTCATAAATTGTCTCCGTTTATTTCTAATTTATCTTGCTATTATGTATTTTTTTTTACTCGTGCTTTTGTCAGCCAGTTATTTTTAAGACTATAACTTGAATACTGCTGCAATGAGAAGCCCATATGGGAAATGGAAATAGAAACAAGTTCTGTATTGCATTTAAAAAAAAAACAAATACTGAAAATGTAAAACATTTCATGGTAACAATAATTAATTTTATAATAAAAATGAATAACTTAAAAAATACTGAATATTTAAAAACTGAGGAACATTGATTTTTGTCTTAAAAGTTAATCATACCAAGAAATGTTTTCACCCATATAAAATACACATTTGATAAGAAAACTGCAAAACAACCTTAAGGTATAACAACCTTATTCAAGTGAGAACTACAGAAAAAAAGTTTAACGGGCTGCAATGAAACCATTTTGTGTTATATGCAGTGAAACCTCCAGAAAAGATCAGCACTCGGTAGTGACCTACTCTATTTATGTCCACTTTTGAGAGGCATTGAATTTTTTCCATAGACTGAGTTGAAGAAAACCTTTAGGAGAGACCATCAAAACCTCCCCCAGGGACCGGGCAAACCTCGGCACCAGATAAGGGAAGGGTCAAATAAATAAACACAAAAAATATGAACAAAACAAATACGTAGATTTAAATGCATTCAAAATATTTGTGAATGGTTCTTATTTAGAGAGCTCTTTTTGATGAACCCTGAAAGAGATATCATCGATCTGGTTTTTAAGATGCCAGCATAAGCGTCATTTCTGCACCAAGAAAACGACACAAAATAAAATGGCTTGCGAAAAAACAAGAACCTTCGATAACATTTTTTAGTCACGAAAGCATCCCCTAAGAATAACCAACCTCCATTAACAACCATTTTACTGTGGAACAGATAGTGGTCGCTCCTGTGAGGTTTCACAGTATATCAATCGATAGCATTTTAATATCATTATTGAGATATAAAAAAAACATCAACTTATCTTACAAATTTACACACAGTATGTCTTATATAATAACCACAAAAAAATTTGCCAGAATAAAAAGTAATTTAATTAGAATAATTCGAACTTAGTTTTAAAATTTTATTGATTTACATATTTAATATGAGCATGAAAAAGCAAATAACACATAAATGTTAAAATAACTTTTTTGCAGAAATGCTAACTTTCCAAACTAGCTATCAGTAATCAGAAGTACATAGCTACCAACGCGGCCTAGCTTTCTAGAACATTTAAAGCGGGAGCCACTAACAATTTAAAGTAAATTTAATTTGGTTAACTTTTGCGTGCATTTAAAAAAAATTTCTACACAGCTAATAGATTTTATATATGTATTTAAGTTACCTGTTTGTAGAAGTGGACAAAATCATTCTAAATTAAATTTAAAAAAATCAATAAAACAAATTTTAAATCATAAAATTTAACACCACTTTAAATTTTCAATTAAAAATACTTGAATAAATCGGAGCAGGTATGGATGTAACAACAATACAGAAATACACAGCAAATGCTAACAAAAATTTGTGCAGTTTTAAGGTGTATATATGACTAATTCTATATATGTATAACTGCATGAATTTAGAAGAAAAAAAAAGTAATGCCCAGACAAAATCAATATTAGAATAATATTAAATATTGCCTTTTAAGCATCTTTTATTTGAACCACTAAAAAATTTTGTTGCTCACAGAGCATTTCAGATTTGAGATTATGTTCTTTTGACATTTTGTAAGAAGAGAAGATGAAAGTTTCAATTCTTAGAGTTGGAAAAATTTGTTAAATTTTTCTCCCCAAATTTAAAACCATTTTCAATGCTACATTGCTGTTTGAAACAAGAAGTAAAACAAGAGTTTAGTAGAATCATTAATCACAGGTTTAATGAAGCTTAATTACGCACCTGCCTCAATAAATTTTTGAATCTATTTCTTTTTCTAGATAAGAAAAAGGATTACAACTAAAAAGTCATAACAATTAAGGATAAATCATAAAAGTTGAAGCACCAGTTTAAAAATTTTGCTCAAACATTTAATAATATGTTTCTATCAAAAACTATGTATTGAAGTAAAATCATGTACAATAAATAATTTAAATCCTTTTTTGCTAGAAGTGGGTAAGTGTACAGACATTAGTCCCTATTCCCTTTATATGTTATATTTTCTGTTTTATCTTGTATATTTCTTAATTTTCTTTGTTTTCTATTTTTTGCTCAATATGTTTAATTTTGTATTCTTTGCTTTATTTTCGTTTCTATTTTTTCAGTGCTTTTCACTATTGAATTGATATACAGTGCACTCCCGATTATCCGGGTTAATCACCGGGACAGGTCACACGGATAAACAATCGAAAAACACGGATAATCCGAAAACTCCTTTTATTAAAGAAAAAATCAATATCAGTACAAAAAATATAAAAATTACTGACATTAGCATGCTGTATAACATCAAACTAGGAATTTTCCTTTTAAAAAAAATGTGTAATGCGTCTTCGCCATATATCGATACGCATATTTTACGAACCACAGTAATGTCACCGTAATCAAATCCTCCCATATACTCTAATAAAGTTTTTACAGAGCAGCAGAATGAGAAATTGTATTTCCCTCATTTACTATATCTTCTGCATCAGTTACTATCATCACTATTTGATTTAACAACATAACGATGTCTTCATTTGTCAAATGCTGGAAGTCAGGCTCACATGCATCACTTTGAAACCAATCTTCGAAATTTTCTTCATCAAGAATTTCGAAACCTTAGATTTTTTTGCTTGTTCGAGAATACTGTTATCATATTTTTCTTGAACATCTGAAGAAGATTGTTCATCAAGCGATATGATCTTTCTCCAAGATCGTGATAATGTAGACGATTTTACCTTTGACNTACATAAAAAAAAATTGTTCTTCTGGTGTTTTGTCGATTTTACGTGTCTGACTATATCAGTTTTACCACCATGCGCTATGCTAGTCATTTTTACATACATCATGTAGTCCGAGATTCGATCTAGAAAAAAATGGAAATTCAAGAGAATAAGATTCTTTAAAGGCTTGCTTATATTGTATTCGTTCAGCCACAATAAATTAACAAGATTAATCTAATGAGCAAATAAATATTGCCATAAACCAATTGCTGTTTTGCTTTTACACAAGCCATTTTCTTTTAACATTTGCTTTCGTGCTGGCAAATAGGAAGTCATGTGACAATGGGAAGCGCTCTCGCAACATAAGCTGAATTCTTTCTCTCATTGGCAGAAAAGAGGAGAAATTCATTATGTTACACTGAACGATGTGACATAAATGGAGGATCACCTCAAGCGGGCTTTCTAGGGCCATTACTAGAGGAGTATCGACGTCTGATTTAAAGAAGATACTAGCTATCGGGCGGACGGGTACAATTCGGAAGATCTTATCGTTTGTGCGTAAAAAATAGCTAAAATAAGTAAAAATGCAGAAAGCTTCTGCAAAATGTGGAAGGGTTGGCAGCTATGTATTAATATAATATTAGAAAGTACTTTTTTTTGCAGATATAATTGTGTGAGCTAACGATGAGATAATATCTTTTCAATAGTTTGTTTTCCAGTCTTTTAATTTTCTTTAAAAAGTTTTACTTAGTTGTAATATATACATATATATAAAACAAAGTAAATTGAACTTTTAAAGACATCATTTTAAATTAGAAAAGGTGTTAAAATCCATATTTTAAGTAATCTTATATTTTTTATGTCTACTAATCTCCATAATAACAGATTTTTTATCACAGCACATAAAAATGATGTTAGGGTGGAAGTTTTAATAAATTATGTCTAATTAATTAAACACACATACCAAACATTTTTTGACAATTATTAAAAATAACCAGTTAATGTGATTAGCTTGAATAAATTATCATTTTTACCAAAAAAATGTGGTTATTATTAACAATAGCCAGATTTAGTACTTTAACTGTAACATACATTCACATCTATAACAATTTTAAATAATTTTCTGGATATTTAATAAAAACTTTGCAAAGATACATACTACAAAAAATTATTTAAAAAAAATAATAAATAAATACCTTGTTTTACATAATTCTTTAATTTCTTTGCTTAGGTGGGGAGGAAAAAGCAGCAGTTTCCTCTCAAAACTATCAATAAGATTAACAAATTTGCAAACATTGTTAATATATTGAGTTGTATGTTCATACTGTTTTGATATATTTCTTTCAGAATCACTGAAATAAAAGATAACTATTACTGCTATTATAAACAATATTTTTAAAGTAGTAAATATTTTAAAAAAATAAAAATAATTGGAAAACTAAAGTTAGTATAACCAACCATTAAAATAAAATAAAAATAACCATAAAAAAGTTTTTTAAATGAAGAAACACATGATTTTATTTTATGAAGTTAAAAAATATGGAAGCAGTAAAAAAGGATATCATTTAGCCTTATATATATATATATTCATATATACCACTATACAATTTTCAACGAATTTTTTTTTTCTTTCTAAGGTGCAATTCTGTTTTATTTCCAACATATTATATGCTTCATGCTTTGATATATTATGTTAATTTACACTACCCTACAATAATGGAAGATATTTTAAGTCTTTGACATGATTTTAAATTTCTCAAGAAATACTTAAAGGATTATTTTATAACTTTAAGAGATGTTTAGTTCATGCTTGGAGGTTTAGGAAAACAACAACAAATTATGAAATAAAACAAGTATTTTTGAACATCCTATGTAAGAAAATTACGTAATAAGCTTGTAACTTCCATAGATTACTTTAGCTGTTATTTTCAATAACTGCATAAAATTTCGTAAACCTAGAGTAAATATCCATGGAGTTATGGACACTTTTATAAAAAACTATTTTTTCTGCCTTACGTTTTTTTGCTATAACTTTATAGATATTTAATGGAACCAAACAAAATTTTCTGAACAGTTAAAAATTAATTACAAAATTATTTAAAATTTTAAAACAATGTGTTAAAAACTGCACAACATACAAGCATTTATAGTGTTCTTTTATATTGTGCATGTGCAGAAGAAATTAAAATGTTTTTCTTAATTTTGTAATGAATCGTAACTGGCAACTAATGAAAAAAGTTTGATTTGAATATCTAAAAAATTAAGAAAGTTGCAAGCAATTTTTTAAGTAGTTTTTGTATTTTTTAAAAGAAAGATCAAAGCGATCAGGGGTTTTACAGAAATCTTATTTTGTATCATAAAAAACATTGTATGAACTAAACACCTCTAAAGTTATAAAATAATCCTTAAAGTATTTCTTGAGAAATTTTAAAAAATGTCAAAAATTCAAAATGTCTCCTCCATTATTGTAGGGTAGTGTATATTTTCAAATTTGAAGGATTTAAAAGCTTATTCTAATTTTACTTTTAATAAGCTTTATTGGTTTTTTTAAAAAAAAATTATGTAGAAGCAGGTAATACTGGTAGGAGGGAGAGAAAGGTTGCATCTTATTACAGTTATATTTAGATGAGTGACTAAATAAACCTGCAATGAATAGAAATAATTAAAGGCACTGAATTGAGAAAAGAGCTTGAAGGCAGTTGAGAGTAAATATCATTTAATATTCTAATTTCTTCCATTTCCTTTGCTACCTTTTATTTCAAAATTGACCAGAGAAGACTGTTCAAGGAAAGGTAGAAGAACACTAAATAAAATATTTTAGAAGTACTTATTATTTGGATTCACAGTTTAAATTTTAGAAATCATTTAATATTACAGTGCCCGCCGTTTATTAACCCACTGGCGCTTAAGGAAATGGGCAAAATTTGGAGAATGTTTCTCCCCTACACACAGTTTCCCTATCAGTTAACATGGGAAAACCGGTTTTGCTATGCAGAGAAGTCTGCAGGTTAAAATGCGACTTTTTACGTGCAGAACCGTCAGTGGGTTAAAATGACTTTCGTTTTATGCTCTTTTGATTTTATTAAGCGGCTGATTTTATTAAGAGGCGATTCAACATTTGGAAAAAAAATCAAATTTTTTGTATTCTAAATGCACACACTTTAAAAGCTGAAATAATGACAACATTAATGTTTTATTTTAACTAATTTAATTATTTTAATAACGTAAAACCCTACATAAGATTAAATTTACAAAATTTTTGCAAATAACCGATCAATGGTTACTTGAGTTTCAGTATTTAAAATTAACTTTTCAACATCATTTGAGAGTTTATAGAAATTTTTATAGTTTTCGATATTTCCTCCTCTTTGTTCCAAAGCTTGCCGCACTACATTGCTTTTCTGACTTCCATTGAAGATGGCACTGAAGAGTTCATTTCATCTTCTGAGTCTGATTCCTCCATTTCTTGATTGGAAATAACTTTGCAATTTTCGATGTTTGTAACAATTTCAGAATCCGATTTTTCTCCTGATGTTTGCAGCTTATCGTCAATAGCTACGGAACATGCGCACAGTTTTTGGAAATCCATTCATGTTCTCTGTTAAGATAGATAAGAAAAGAAACTTCTCTCCCTTCTATGGTTCATTCAATAAAAAGTAAGATAAGAATTCGACCCCCTGTTGAATGAGATAGGTTTCTCCAAACTTCATTCAAGTCAAGGAATTGACATTGATTTCTATGAACTCGCCGCTTACCACCCACATTTTCCCTTTATTCTTGCACTATGAATATCGCAGGAAAATGCTAGTCACGCCAGCTTCACAGGCTTGTGAGTAACTGTTGCTTCTTCTAAAAAAATCTTTAAACTTCGAAAAATAAAATTTTATTAATAAGAACAAAAGAAGCTGAAATATTGCACTTTTGATTTATTACGCAGTCAAAATTTTGATTTTAAAAAGCGGCGGCATTGATTTTATTAAAGGATNGGAAGGTAGAAGAACACTAAATAAAATATTTTAGAAGTACTTATTATTTGGATTCACAGTTTAAATTTTAGAAATAATTTAATATTATTATTTATTTAACCAAATTTACTAATTGAGACAAACATACAAAAGTTTAAAAAAAAAAAATTCTCAAAAATTGAAATTTTTTTTTCTTTCTTGACATTAACAAACTTCTAGAGTTTAATTCTTTTGGTAGTTTCTAATACAGATAGTTGAATTCAAATCAATATACAGGGTTAGAGGCAAAATTCTTTTGCTATTTTTTTTAATTATTTGGCCAGTTTTTAATTACAGATAGCCAAATTGTTAAGGTTTGTCACAATCCAATGATGACACTGAATCCTACCACATATAGAAAAGGTTATTTGATGCTTTTAACACAAAGAAACAAATATAAACTTTTTATACAAACTCATGCTAAAAATTCTGACAACTTATAAATTATACATTAATAATAAAAGAATTATTAGTTAAACATACCTATCATTGGAATTTGTGCTATCACATCCTAAATTACCAAGCTCATTTCTTTTTGATAGCATGCAGCAGAGAAAATTCCAAAAAGTCAGCTGTTTCCTTTTTGATGCAGTTCCCTATATTAAAAAAATAAATCTCAGTAGTAGTATCAACAAATAATCAAAGACAGTTCCAGAATAAAGAGGCTGAGGTGGCTCCGGGTATAGAGCACTCGCCTTCCGACAATGTGACGCAGGTTGGAATCTCAGTGAAGGCTCGTTGATTCGAATTCGTTTTCAACTCACACCTACCACAGTGCTCACATAAAATTATCCTTATTTGTAATCGGATCATGGGGTAAAATCCTCTTACGTGGGAGGTTTCATCTCCATGCAACACAAATTAGTTCTAATGTTATAGCTGTATTTCTATTATATTATAGTTTAATCAAATATTGTATATTTTCATACATTCTTGATAGAGCTAAATTACAGGGAGCACATTTTCAGTCAAATGATAAATTTTTCTATGCTACTGATGAAAGTAAGCGTCAATGGAAAATAAGTTACAAAATTATGTAAGAATATATATGAATATGAATGTAATATGAATTTCTCTCACAAATAAATCTTAAAAAGTCTTATACAGTTTTTTTCGTGAGTTTATTTTATTTAATTAATCAAAATCTTAAAACATGTAATATGATAACTTAATTTACATTATTTATTTTATACTACACCATATAATTATGTTTTTCAGTAACGTAATTTAGAAAAATAACAATCTTTTAATAAAGACATAAAGCAAATATTGAAATATTTTAAGTCAAATCAAATAAAAAGAAGAAAAAAAAAGAACAGGTTTCTAACATATGTGTGCATGAAATTTTTATTTTTCTAATATATTTCATAATAGCAAAGAAAAAGAAGGTCGATGATATGAATAACTTAAGTTAGATATCAGCATATATTATTTGAAATTGGAAAACAAATTATAATTGATTTAGATAACTATTTAAATTTATACTAATGCAAAAAAAAGTAATAATAATAATTTCTATTGTGTAACAAACAATATCTGTATTAATTTATTTCTAGAGACAATAGTTTAAAAAAATTTTGTACTAAAAACAGAAGTTGCTATTTTATATAAAATGTCTTTTTTTTTAATCTTTATTAGTTTGATGAAATTATTACCATGAAAATTTAAGTTGTCCTTTCTTGGATTTGTTATTTTTGTTTTTCTTTTTTAAATACGTAAAATCATATTCAAATGGATGGGTGGAACAAGCAAGACAGTATCTCCAAGGAGTGGGAGGTAAATACCAATCAATGTGAGGAATATAATTATATGCGTATGAAAATTTTTACTTTCAAATTAACCTTATGTTTAAACAGAAATGAAAGCAGCATAAGAACTGGAATATGTTTCACTTAGTTAAAACACTATTAACTGAAATTTTTAAAAAAAATCTAACTATATATAAAAATCCAATGATGGTGTCGCACCAGCCAATGAAATCTAAGGTATCACGTGACAGTATGAAAGAAGTAGCCAATCCAAGCGAGGATGCAGTTTTCAGCCAATCAGAAAAGAGAACGCATTCGCGTCAAAGCTTTTTGTTGATTTACTTTGAGAGGGTTTTTGCTGATTACATCTCATCTTATCTTATCATTCTTATGCCTATCCAGTGATTGATATCTTTTAATGTTTACATTTTTGTTGTTTGCTATTATAAAGCTTACTGAGGCTTGCTTACCTTAAAATGGTTAAATTTTAAATCACATTTATTTATTCAACTCATTTCAATCATTTGGAATTTCAGTATAATGTCTGACAGGACAGATCGCCATCGAGAATATCGCAGACAGCGGAGATTGGATCCCACGTTTCGTCAAAATGAACAAGAGCGTCGAAGAATAAATCGACAAAATAATCGAGAGCTTACTAATGCCCGCCAAAGAGAAAATCGAAGTAGGGCAGCTAATCGTCTTCGAGAAATAGATGAAAATCAGTATTCGGGAGAATCGTACGGTCGTACTTATGCTCTGCCGCGCATTTATATCCTTATATAAATGTATTAAAATTTTTTTGCGAAGCAAACAAAAAAGAATTGCGCAGCAATTCTCGGGGGTTGGCGAGCGGTAGCGAGCAGGGGGCGGAGCCCCCTAGTATATGTATAAAAGATTAAAAAGAAAATGCTTTTATTTCATCATTTATGCACCAACAGGACTTTTAAAGTCTCACTAATATTTCCATATAACACTAAAACAGAACAAAATAATCTTATCAGGCCTTGTCTTACTCTATAACATGACTTCCCATTTATAATTACTAGTTGGCAGTACAGGTTAATATCAAGTTTATCATTGCTTATGGTAGGGGTGCACAACCTGCGGCCCGGGGGGCCAAATGCGGCCCTTCGACTACTGAAGTGCGGCCCGCGAGAGCTTCTGAACACAATAAAAAAAATTTAAAAAATGGCAATTTTTTATCGCTCTTTTAAATCATCACGTTTTGACACAATCAATTCTAACAGATTCTTTAGTAAATGTAAGTTTAACGCGCTTTCTTTCTTTAAGCCGATTTTATCGTAAATATAAATGATTTTTTTTAAACAGTTATTTCCGCTTTTCTACGTGATTTCAAAAATCCCGAATTTTAATCACGATGCGAGTTTCAGATCGCCCATTTAAATAATCACTTTTTGGTGCANAATTTCTCTCACAAATAAATCTTAAAAAGTCTTATACAGTTTTTTTCGTGAGTTTATTTTATTTAATTAATCAAAATCTTAAAACATGTAATATGATAACTTAATTTACATTATTTATTTTATACTACACCATATAATTATGTTTTTCAGTAACGTAATTTAGAAAAATAACAATCTTTTAATAAAGACATAAAGCAAATATTGAAATATTTTAAGTCAAATCAAATAAAAAGAAGAAAAAAAAAGAACAGGTTTCTAACATATGTGTGCATGAAATTTTTATTTTTCTAATATATTTCATAATAGCAAAGAAAAAGAAGGTCGATGATATGAATAACTTAAGTTAGATATCAGCATATATTATTTGAAATTGGAAAACAAATTATAATTGATTTAGATAACTATTTAAATTTATACTAATGCAAAAAAAAGTAATAATAATAATTTCTATTGTGTAACAAACAATATCTGTATTAATTTATTTCTAGAGACAATAGTTTAAAAAAATTTTGTATTAAAAACAGAAGTTGCTATTTTATATAAAATGTCTTTTTTTTTTAATTTTTTTTTTTATCTTTATTAGTTTGATGAAATTATTACCATGAAAATTTAAGTTGTCCTTTCTTGGATCTGTTATTTTTGTTATTCTTTTTTAAATATGTAAAATCATCTTCAAATTCAAATGGATAGGTGGAATAAGCAAAACAGCCACTCCAAGTTGTGAGAGGTAAATACCAATCAATGTGAGGAATACAATTATATGCATATGAAAATTTTTACTTTAAAACTAACCTTATGTTTAAACTGAAATGAAAGCAGCATAAGAACTGAAATATGCTTCACTTAGTTAAAACACTATTAACTGAAATTTAAAAAAAAAAAAATACATGTATAAAAGATTAAAAAGAAAATGCTTTAAAAAAAAATACAGAACAAAGAAAGACACGGGAATAGCTCAGAGCCATAAAAGCAGCAGTTATCTAAGGATTGTAATAATACATATAACACTAAAACAGAACAAAATAATCCTATCAGGCCTTGTCTTACTGTATAACATGACTTCCCATTTATAATTACTAGTTGGCAGTACAGATTAATATCAAGTTTGTCATTGCTTATGGAACTATTTAGTTATTGATATTTTGTTCAAGAATGTCATCTTACGATGGATCCTTGTTCCTCAATTTTAAGCTTTCTATCTTGGTAAATTTCGAATGTAAGTCTTTCATATTTCTTTTATTGATATATCAACGATACAAAACTTAGAATTAAATGTTTAACTTTAATTAAATTTTTAAACTTTAATACAATTTTATATGCTATTATCACATAAAATTTTAAATTGATTGTTTTTTGATTAGCTTTATATTTATACAATCAATATTTTAAAAATTGTATTGCGGTGACAATTTAAGCAGTTTTGCTACAGTTATTAGGAATTTTATAAAAATATTGCATGTCTCTACTAAGTTATAATATAATTTTAGTAAGTTCATTGATTTAAATTTTTTAAAGATGTATACAGGAGAAGATGCTGAATATGACAAAAAATGAAATAAAAATTGTGTGGGTTGAAATTCCATCAGAGCTTGACACACCTGAATAAAAAAATATTTAATTGCAAATATAAAAATATTGCAATCATGAAAAAAAAAAACTTTTAATAATTGTATTATAAATGCGGTTTACATTTTAATATTTCTAATTTATATTTAGGATTAAAAAATATAAGCACAAGTATTTTATAGCTCTTAATATTTTTATAGCGCAATTTCTGCTTTCGAAGTATCTAAAGCAGTTAGGTATGGTACCAAATGATTTTTATAGTGCAGATGGGCATTTAAAATCGCAAAATAAAATTTTTTATGAATAAATTAGAAAATATTGATTATTAAAAAAAAATATTTAGATAAGTGTAAAATAGCCATTATTTAATGGGGCAAAAACTACAAATTTTTGATATTTTTTAATAACTTGGTAAAAGAAAAGGTTAAACAAATAGGAATACTTACACATTTTAAAATAAAACATAATGAAATCAATAACACTAAAATTAAGATAAATTAATAAATTTTTATAAAATAGTCCTAAATTATTTTTATTGTACAATTTTTTGTCAACTATAAAAAGTTAATTTTATAAGAAAAATTAAAATTTTCATTTTAATTTCTCTCTCTTTCTTTGAAAAAGAATAATTAATGAAAATAAAGAAAAATTTACTTCAATAATTTCAGAATCCTCAGCACTGCAAACACCAATAGCAGAAAAAATACGAGTTAAACCTAAAAAAGGCAATTAAAAAAATTTGTCAAATTTGAATTGACAAACTCAACTAGACGAAACTAAAACATAATAGGCTTAAATATATTGGTTATCATTGCGTAATTTGGTTAGCTGGAGCTTACTAAAAGATCCTAAATAATTTTGTTTACATCGTTTTGATACTGTAAATAGTATTGTCATCAGCTTTGAGGTACGATATATGTTATAGTCCTAAGAAAAAGAACAGGATATACTTTGTGCTATGTTGACTAAAGCAAGGACAAACGCAAACAAAACACAAATAAAAGCACAGAAATAGACATATTATAGTTTGAGTTCCATAAACAAGAACCTTCCTCCATACTTAAACACCTAAAAAAACTTTCAAAACCTCAACCTTTCCCAGTGTTAGCAAAAGTTAAAGATTTCGTGGTGTTTACAGTATTGAAGGTTTTTTAGGTGTTTAAGTATGAAGGAAGGTTCTTGTTTATAGAACTGAAACTGTTTAACATCCACTTCTGTGTTTTTTTCATATTGGTGTTTTGCTTTAGACATGTCATACCTCTCACGACTGGTTTGCTCACTTAATTAATTATCAAACTAGGTTTGCTAGCACAAAAAAAGAAGACCTTTAATACTTAAAGACTTTTTTTCTCTCCATTTATCGGTAACATATAGATCTTACGCTTACACAAATGTTAGATTAAAAAAGCAAAAGAAATTACAGTACAGAACCCGTTATCCGGAAATCAGAAAACCGGAAAACCAAAAAACCGGAACGAAATTCAATAAATTTTCCCGCAATTTTTAAAAACATTTTTTTTTTCCTCATAAGATTTTAGGATTTTTCTTTCTTTTTTGAAAGATGTTTACCTTACCATCATTTCAGAAATAGTCATTAGTGTATTACTTCATCGTTTTTTAAGATTATTTCCAAATATATATTTTTTTAGTTGGGTTTAACACTAAAAAAACGGCTTTTTGTAGCGATTCAGAAAAACGGAAAAATCAGTTATCCGGAATAGCGATAGTCCCAATCGTTCCGGATAATCGGTTCTCTACTGTATTAAAAAAAAAAAAGAAATTTATATAAAATAATTTTTTACAAAGAAATAGATATAAATAATTAAAAATCACTAAAATGAATTTAAGATAGAGTTTAGAAAATTATACTTAGTTTACTGGATTTCGTGTTAGAAAAAGCTAAGTGTTAACGAATAATAACACACCTTTTTAGTAGACCCCTTTAAAAAACGAAAAAAGTATTCTCAAGTAGAAAAAAAAGGAGGAAAAATAATATAACTAAAAATTAGTCTTTCAACAAATAAATAAAACTTGATAGATAGCATGTTATTAAATTTCTTCAGTCATAAAGATACAAATGTTGAATACAAAAACATAAAAGTTGTATTGAGTTGTAAAAAGAAAGTGTTATTTGCAAAAAGGATATGCATCCTTAATTAGAATTATTACCTTATTGCGTACTTATAGACTAAAATTCATATTAACCGATAAAGCAGAAAAATATTTAGGAAGATATTAAAAAACAAATCACTAAAAGATACCAAAAAATTTAATAATATCTGTAGAGTAATAATTTATGTTCATTTTAAGTAAATCAGTATTTCTAGGCAAAAACGTACATTTCTAATATCACCTTTTAAAAACACAAGCCCATAGTTATATAGATAACTATATACACGATGATCATTTATTGATTGCAATATTTTTTTGTTCAAAACACAGTTGGTGCTTTCTAGCTGAAATAGAAACCACTTAACAGTTCTTAAAAACTGTTGATACAGCTACAGTTGATTTAAAAAGTTTCCACAGTTCAAAACTTGTCCTCATGAAGAAATTTTAAAACTTGTTGTAACAAGAAAAGTTGCCGCGAAAGTTTGGATTAATAATTTGTTTTTATGAGGGGCAATATTTCCTTTGTTTTAAACAAGAACAGTTTGTTTTTATATGGACGTTAAATAATACAATTATTGTTTTTCAAAATAAACTGTTTCCCTATCTTAAGCAAAAATTCACGTTAAGCATTTCATTGTAACTAGGTTGACCTGTATTTATAAATATAATGATCTTTTTTAATCTATGGCAAGCATTATTCTGATATAAATAATAATTATATGAGCAATAAATTATTCCGAAGAAATGTTACAACTTATATTACTTACTTTGAATTTTACTTTCTAATGATTTTTCATTTTGGGATAATTCTAAATCATTTATTCCTAATCTATAAAATAGAAAAAGANTTCAATTGGTCCTCTCATTCAATAGTACATAACTGAAGTTTGGCCTTGCCATACAGGTTAAAATATTAGGGACTAAGTGCTTGGTTCGTCATAAACAGGTTTATTTATCTATAGTACTATTCAAGAATACTTTTATTTCATTCATGTTCAATTCTTTTAGCATAGTGGTGATACATCACCAGTTTCAGTAACTGAAACTGATGTTACGCCCTTCAAAACTGTTAATACATTTTTCAGTTATTTTATGTTTTCAATTTAAACTAATATATTTATATCTTAAAACACTTTATTTTAAAAATAGATGTCTTTTTTATCATCCTGTGATGCAGAAATTATAACATTTTTTTAAAAAAAAATATTGTTAAAAATAAAAGGTTAATTTTTGAACAAATTTAGTATTTTTTTTTAAGAAAAATTATTATTTTTTAATATTGCCATATTTATCTTTATGCAAAAATATTATTTATCAGTATTAAAAGCATATTAAAAGGATTCCCTTTTGTTGTTTAATGAATTGTGGAGCTTCAAAATTATAAACCTTTTCCTATTATATTATATTATTTTCTTTTAATAAGTTGTAGTAAATTGTATAAAAAATATCAAATATTTATTGATACATGTAATTATGTGTACAATCGTTACACCTATAGAATTTTTACCTTTTACCAAAGTTCAAAGTTTTGGATACTTTAAGACAGTTTTACCCAGTTTAGGACAGTTTTACCCAGTTTAAGACAGTAAAACCCACGTGTCCTGTCCAAAACCAGTTTAGGACGCCCAAAACCCCAACCCTGATTTAAATAATACTGAACATAACAATATTCAGAAAAGGATATAAATAAAAAAAGTAAAGTACATACAGTGAAAAGTCCCATGTTCGGAATCATCGAGACTTTGGAAAGTCTGGAAAATAGTTTTTTGGATAATAGGTCTTTAAACAAAGATCAAAGCATCCTTATTCAATAGAAAATAACAAATAAACAATAGTTGACGTCAATTCCATATATGAATAAATCCATGTGGTTTGTATGACTCTGCTATTTTTGCAGCTTTTATTTTGTCGGAAGAATACATTTTAGTTAATATTTCTTGATCCGCTCGTATAGCGACACAGTCAATCCACGCAGTTTTGTCCATAATTTTTTAGGTAGCTATTAAAAGGAATTTCACTTGATTTTTAAAATTTCAATGTTTTAATATATTATTTTGTTCGACAAACTGAAATCGAGCATTTCACACACAATTACAGACGATTCACTCTCAATTCGTGGATTTACTAATGTATTTTTGTCAGTTATTGCAATGGATTTTAATGGTTTTTTATTGCTTTATTATCATACACAGGATATTTTGAATCATGATGATTTTTAATGAATAATGATTTTTTGATGCACTCGATTTATGAAAATTTTATTGTCCACGTGTTTTAGTCTATTGCATTTTAAGTTTGGGTTTTAACATAGGATTTTCTCGATTTCATTTTTAATAAGTTAGTATTTACAGCTTTAGTCGTGATGATTTAATCTCAAATCCCTAATTTTTTCAAAATTTGAAATTTTTGCACACTCTAAAATTGAGCGTGTGATTCCTGGCTGTGATAATAATTTTGAGAAAGATGTGAGAAAAAATATGGGATTTTTTTCACGCTGCAATGTTGGATTTCACGTTTACGCAATATCCATTTTTTAAAAAATATTATAGTGGAAATCGGATAAAAGTCGAACAACTGGCTTAAAATCATAAGGAAGCAGATATCAGAGGAGGATTCTCATCCCCGCATACTTTTTTTTAACAGATGTAAATATATAAAAAAAAAAATTAATAAGGGAAAACAGTTTTGCTTATTTCGATTGATAAAAAGTGTCTGGAAAAGAGACCCTTCCGGTAAATGGACATCAAGATAAGGGACTTTGTACTGTATTTTGTTAAAATGCATTAGGTTTGAACCAGTGGTCCAACTTTTTTTTATTAGACCAGGAGTTAGGCCTAATTTTAAATGGAACACAATATCGTTCTGGAGCAAAGTTTATTTAAACAAAAAACATGAAAAACTAATATTTAAATGGAACCAAAACCTAACAATATTTCGTAAAAGAATATAAAAAAGATAAAGTTCGTATATGCAATCACTTTTAGTACTAAGAATTTTTTCAGCTTCTGAAGTTAAAACTTTTTTTAAAATTTTTGAAGTGAACTCTAAATTGGATTATACAATGGTTTCCAAACATGAATTATAGAGTATTGGTGAGGTAACTGGCTTACACTGGGAAATTGAATTTATTTATTTATGCCTCCTAGGCCAACACAATGTTATTTTACAAGGAATAAAATCAAATAATGAATCGGCAAAAGACGATGAGGGTGCTTGACTCCAGATAGGGGTGCATGAAGGAGCAAGCACTGACCAGAAAGATTGTCTAAGTTTGTTTGGCACAAGAAATGAGTTTGGGCTAACTTTTAAAGAACTGAGCCTTATGTGGAAAAAATAGCAAATTTTGTAGACTAGTCACTACACAGCATTTCACGTCTAAACAAAATTAGTTACTAAAACCTATTTTTATGACTAACCCAAACTTTGAAACAGAAATGTTGAAAAGGAATTGTCAACAACAGAAAACATTCTCTTTTATCTTCTGAAAGATTCCCATCCCCTTTGTAAACCATTAAGTTTAAGAACTCATTTTTATTTCGCTTTGCATTATGTAAGAATGCCACAGAACGTCAGCAGTAAAAAAGTTTATGTAAATTAATTCATGAACCAGAGCCCGAAACCCTTTTTTCCCCGTAAATGAGCTTGTCTCACCTCTAGGAAGTTACCACTTAAGCAAAGCATCAATATAAAAAATATAAAAAAATTAACAACTAGGCATTTGGAAAAAAAAATCATGAATAAGAGAAAGCAAGAGATTTATTTTATTGTATATATACAAATAAAACCATATGGTTAATTTTTAGCGAGATAAAAAAATAAAACTGAAAAGTGGATCAAGTAACCCAAGTTTCCCCTTTACTAAAAATTCAGGGATTCGATTTCAAAAAAAAATTAGAGCAATATAAAAAATACCAACTGTTCAAGAATCCATTGCATTAAGTTATATCTTTCAAAACTTGATTTAAATAAAATGTCAGTAAGCCATTGATCTTTTCCATTGCCAGCAAAAGGACACTGTAATTCCTGTGAATTGAATAGAGAAAAAAGCACCAGTTAAAAAAAATTACACATATACCGTTTTGCAGAAGTTTTTCGGGCTTCCAGTGCCATACCTCTCTAATACTAATATCTTTCTACAAAATATTTAATATAATAACATTTTTTTAAAAAAAGTATTACTAGTTCTTTGACCCCTGACAACTTTCATATGAAGTGAAGCAGTTTCAATATTTATATATAGTGAGTTACTAGAAGGAAAATGCATTTTAATGAAAGAAAAAAAAAACTTAAGTTTGAACAACCTTTTTTGCAAAAAGGTCCTCAGGTTAAAAACAATTTTGTAGTCGACTAAAAGCCACCATAAATTTAATTTTAAGGAATTTGGATAAAAAAAAATTTAAAAAAAACTTAGTTATTCTGTAACTTAAAAAGAACAATTTTAAAAATATCCAGAAAAAATTACAGAAACTGACATACTTTTGTAAAATACTTTTAAAGGAAACAAAATGTAGTTAGCATATATTGTCTTTTTTTAATAATAAAGTTAAACACAATAAATTATTAAATGATATTTTTTTTACTGTATGCAACAACTTAAATCTTTAATATGAAATAAATATCCTTAAACTAAATATGTTTTAGGTTCTTGGGTTAAAAAAAATTATTATAAAGAAATAGTAAAAGCAAATGATTTTAGCTTTTCAGACACTTAAATAGGTACCTACCAGGGCATACTTTAAAATTTTTATAATTCGTACTCATTAATTATGAGTAGAACATAACAGTAGGTATATAACAATACTAGTTACTTAACAATAATGCAGAAAATCATGAATTTAAATATTTGATGAATAACTTTCTTTCACTAATATTCACAAGCAAAATATTATAAATAGACACACATTTTTTTGCATTATTTAATACATATCTGCTTCAACAATAAAATGAAATTTTAAATTCTATTTTAATGGCTATTTAAAAGAATATACTAAGATTCATATTTTGTTTTCATAATAGAATTTTATGGGAATATTTTTGAATATTCTTCAATTCTTTTAAATATTAATGTGAATTTAGACGTATTTAACTTGTCTAACAATTTGTAATTATCTTGGCAGTCTTACATTGTGGTCCTTTTGTATTATAAAGCAAAGTACTGATGTTTCCACTCTGTTTTTTCTCAGTTGAGTCCTATTTTATTTTGTGTTTATACAGGAATATTAACTTTTCTATCTATTAGATTTACTTCAACATTGATCAGATTTAAAACAAAAATTTCCTGTCCATTCGTCTTAAAATGTTTTTCAAAACTTATGCCAATAAAGTTTAGCTGAGAAAAAATTTGAAGCAAAACCAATTCAGATAGCTCCTATAAATGATGTTTATAACTAAAAAAATTTAACTTAATTTGCTTATAAGTTACCTTTAATGTCTCCAAAATATTATTCACTTCTTTCTCCATCACTAATACTTATAATGAGATAAATGATTACAAGAAATTATAATTTGAATAGTTGAATTTTCTGTTTTTAAATTTAAGAGGCAAGTGAAAGTTAAAGTACTTTTTTTAATATTAATATAATAACTTATTGCCAGATACAAAATTTTTGAGTAAGATTTTAATTAAGGACCTAAGTAGCCGGTCTAAAGTTACGTCATCCTTTTGAATGTTTAAAAAAAAATTAAAAAATACGGATTGGCTAAAAATTGCTCACAGCTGACTCCAGACTTGGCACTTAAGCATACATTCAGGCAAAAGAAAATGTTAATTCTTCCTCTTGCGAGTTGATTTAGTTATCTTGAATTTATTCAGCTGATTAAAATTTGTGTAGGGTTATTATAAACATGTTGGGTAACTGATGCATTCAACTTTCTAATTGGCTTGTCTTTTTATTACGTAATATTTATTTTTGTTTTCAATTGTGTAGAGAAATTAAGCTTATCTGTCAAAAGAACTGGCAGATAAAATATAGTTATCAGTTTACAATGTCTAATTATATCTGAAAAGTTTGCTATGGTATTTGTTAAGTTTATTTATTTTCTTTCATAAGAAATCGGAACTTCTTCTTCGGATATGATCGTGTTTGATCTAATCAAGTTAATTGTTTCTGTTTTCAAAATTTCGAGTACAATGCAAGCCCTTTAAATATAAATTTTAAAATCTTAGTTAAATATATTTAATATTTGAGTAATGGAATCATTTTGTTATGATAAGCCCCACAAGTACCTAAGGGTAAATAAAAAGATTTTATTGATGTTGTTAAATAGACAAAGGTTTTGGTGCATCATATCACGCTGGAAAAAACTTTTTTTATTCCTAATAGTAAAATTTTTATTTTCAAATGTATTTCTTTGTTCTGTATTAATGTCTGTTCTTTTTCTCTTTCTGAACTGTAGGCAAGTACAATTTTTGATGATGAATCAGTTGAATCTCATCCTATAGAAATGGCTCAAAGAGCTCCGTAAGTTTTCTTCTAAATAAATTATTTGGGTACTCAGTTATCCTGGAACTAGTGTATAAAATAAAGACTTCTGCCAACTTTTTAGATATGTCTTTTACTATTTTATTTTATTTATTTTTTTAACATTGAACAAAGTATGCATTTACAAAAAATTGAATTAAAAGAGAAAGAAAGGAATTTTAAAAAAATAGTTGAATTTTCTTTATGCCTTACAGGGGCCTGTCCAGGCCGAATTTACTACCGTTTAGCGGTACCTTCACAAATTTAACTTTAGGAAAAACGGTAGTTTCACAAAATCAACTTTAGGAAAAACTGTAGTTTCACAAAATTAACTTTAGGAAAAACGGTAGTTTCACAAAATTCTTTTTCCTGAAATTTTATTTTTGTATTTCTTAAGAAACAATAAATCCAAATTTTTGTGTTGATTTTTTAATAAAATATTTAATTTTTCACAAATTATATCTAAATTTTCACAAAATAGGTACCTATCAGAAAAACCATTCTTTTATGTGCCATTTCAATTATGTACCTTTATTAATATTAAGAAATGTCTTAATATTAATAATGGTATATAATTTAATATCCTGCCAACCAGTACTGTCTCTCCTTACGCCTGCAAAAGAGAAATAAAGCATTTCACATCTTAAAATCAGTTTTTTTAAATGGATGTTTATAGATTCTCAAGTATAATTTAAATACTTAATATCATACTATAATAAAAAAATTCCATCTTTAATTTGAATATTTTATTTTAATATTAAAATGTGCATTAGTTATTTCATATTAAGAAATAATTCTTTATATATATTAATACATGCACATTAGTTTAACTGTGCATGAAATTTTTTTACTTTTCATTCGCTTTTAGAGGTATTGGATAATTATTTACATAATATTAACTTTTATTTCTCTAATTACTTTCACTTCTATATTAAATAAATATCTACAATATTTACAGTGTCGCATTTTTCTTCTACTCTTAAATTATATAAATTTACATTTGGCTATACATGATAAACTCTTTTAATATATAGTTAGCATGAATTAGAGTGTCTTTAAAAATGGACTATAAATTGCTAAATTTTACGAAAAGTATTATTATTATTTTTGTACACACCTGTAATGAAATTATATAATTATTTCCATAATTGGTATCTTGATTTCAAATTATTCGAACATGCAAAAGTGCAGCAAGAAGGTATCTGTAAATTTCATAGTATTTGTTACTCGATTTAAATATTAAATCAAAAGTACATACATAAATAAACTGGATAACGTTAGTAGCGTGCTAGACGTATTCAAGCAAATCTGTAAAATATAGCCGTCTTATCCATATTACTGGCATCATCCAATCAAAGGTGACAGGGAGAAGAGTTTCGCTACTACAGCTAGTTATTTATGGCTTTAGTTTTAGCATGCATCAACTGTAGTATAACGTAGGACTCTAGTTTTGTTGGTATGGTTAGGTGTATAAAATATTATTTCCTCTCTAAAATAAGTCTTGTTATATTCCTTTCTCTTTTTCTTTGATTATACAAAAAAAAAGAAACATGAATTTTGTAATGCTGTTTAAATGTTTAGGTTTATGCATTAGTTATTTTTTATTTTTTTTTAAGTGGTATTCCTTATTTTACAAAGGATCATAAATGTTTGGTACACATAAAAGATGTTAAAACTAATTTTTAGAAAAACAATTACATTTAAAGAAATAAACTATGTATTGTAACAAGCAAANACCGTTCCTTTTTGAGTTATGTTTTTTTTTTTTTTTTTTTAAGTTGTATTCCTTATTGTACAAAGGACCATAAATGTTAGGTACACATAAAAGATGTTAAAACTAATTTTAAGAAAAACAATTACATTTAAAGAAATAAACTATGTATTGTAACAAGCAAATTTCTATTTGCCTTTTTTATCTAATAAAAATCAGATGTAGCATGTAATTTTTAAATCTCCTTCCCATGGAAATAGCAAAATTGAGTAATATATATATTTTTTACCTATTAAATCATGTCAAAACATCCGTTTGAAATATTCAGGGATGAGATTTTTCCGCTTTTTAGCGGATCTCTGCTTTTTTCACTTTTATCTCTTGAATTTCAGCTTTTTTATCAAAAATTCAGATTTTCTAAAAATTTCACTTTTTTTTATAAGTATTCCTCTTTTTCAGAAAATTCACAGATTTTCAAAGGGAAGCAGAAAATTCAAACTACATAGCTACCAATCCTTTCTCATTTTTATTTTAGCTATTTTCTCCCCTTTTACACGCAGCAGATAAGATTTTCCGAATTTTTTACCCGCCCTCCAGATAGATCCGATTTTCGTAGTTCAAACGACGCTGCTTCTGACAAGCCTTTTAGAGGTCCCAAGCCTGAAATCTGCTAATATCTGGATTCTTATTCACACGATTTTAATATCAAACATAGCTTTTCGTATTTGCATGTTGCGATTCTTATTCACGCGATTTGAATATTGTACGTTGTGATTCTTATTTACGAGATTTAAAAATCCTATATTGTGATTCGTATTTACTCCTTTTTAAAAACCAATGTAGCGATTCGTATTCACGCAAGTTTGAAATTCAATGTCTTGATTTGTTCATGCGGTTTATAATATCAAACGCTGATTTTTGTATTTATACATGATTTTAAAATAAGGCATAGGGATTCGCATTCAGGCATTCTAAAAATTATGCATCATAATTCTTATTAATGCAATCTAAAAATTACGCATCATGATTCGTATTTACGTGATCTGAAAATTGTGAATCGTGATTTGTATTTGCGCGTTTTAAAAATTCTATATCCCAGTTTGTATTTTCTCATTTTCAAAATCGTATATCTAGTTTCATATTCATGTGATTTCAAAATCCATAATTGTTATTCATATTCACGCAATTTTAAGATCAACTATCGCGATTCTTGTAAGAAGTAAATTTTTTTTAAAATTAGTTACTATAAAGGTGACTGTTTTTCTAACGACGATTATTAGTATATGTAAGTGTTACAACATCAGAGAAACTGGAAGGGAATATATTCAAAACTTACATTCTGTGCTTGCAAAGAAGAAAAAATAGGATTTGTCACAAGATGTTTGAAGATGGACTAACGACTAAATATAGCAAACATAAAAGATATAGCAAACAAAAGCAATCACTTAAAAAGGGATTTAATTTAATTTTTTTTTTTTTGGAAAAAGAGTTAATTAACTCATCATCAAAATTTTATTTATAATTGCTGTTATTTATGCTATAAAATGCAAAATTCTTATCAAATAAAAAACAATTATCTAAACAGTTGCTGATTGTCATGTAATTTTTCAAACTAAAATAGCAATTTTTGTATGTTAAGGAGTTACTATATATTTCTACTTCACTGTTATTGATATGTTTCAGAGGGCTCTAGTTAGATTAGACTATAATATGAACATAATGATTCGGTCCATTGTTAAAGTTTTTTTTCCCAATATAATTTAAAAAGTAATATTACTGATATATTTGCTATAAATCACATAACAGTATTTATTAAAAGAAATGAAATATTAATGTATATTCTCAGTAGTTTTAATTTGCTAAACCAGGTAGTTTTTCAAGTAATAATTGTCTCTTATGTGAACTGAGGAAAAATATAATTTCCAGCTTTATTTTTTCAATTGGTAATTTTTTTTTCACTAAATGTTAAGTATCAATGCAATCATTTATATAATAATAGATAAGTACACAATTGTATATCAACTCATTATTTATTACCTTAAACTGTCTGGAATTTATTATTAAAGGGTTGCGCTTGCGTAAAATTTACTATCATGGAAATTCAGCTTTTTTGCCTTTTTTTTGGCTAATCTCATCCCTGAATATTGTAATTTCCTTTGGTACCACACTTAATTAGCTTCTTAAAAATGTAATTCATATTAAAAATACCATACAAAATTTTAAATTTATTTAAAATTCATTAAAATAAGTAATTTAAAGATAGTTTTTTCTTTTCTGTGTAATTTTGAAGAAATGAACCTGAAAGGATTCTTGTAAAGTTTGTCTCAAATGAAATACACTTAGGCTTTCAAATTAGGATGCAAACTCATATTCACAACGTCTGAGGCATTTTAGCATTTTGTTAAAGCTTCATTTGCAATTTTAGTTTCTTGATATAAAAATTTTAAAATCAGGATACATTTTGACATAACAGTACAGTCATGCTTTTACTTCAAATCCACGAGTTTATGCTTCTTTCATCATTTTCTATAATCTGACATACTGTTAATGATTTATTTAATGCATAAGTTAAACTTCAAATTTTTAATAGAATCTAATAATCTTAAATGTAATCTCAACATTATTACAAAATATTACTATTGCAACTTATAAATATGAGTTCCTTCATAAAATATATTTAATTTTTAGGAGAGTTAGATCGACCTCTGTGACTTCCCGTTTCTATGATACAGAAATATTAGATCAAAATGTGCAAACCTTCATTGATACAGCTTCTAGTATGGAGCAAAAAAATATCATTACAAGCATCAAGCAGTCAAGGCATCTACCACTTTGGGCATGGCATGTCATTGCTAAGTGTCATGGTATCCCCCTGGAAAGAAAATCTAAGCCTATCTTAGGGACAATTTTACATGGTTTGACATTTGCTGGAGCTCTCACTTTCGCCATTTCATATACTTGGTATGTGGCTTATGACATAATTTCACCAAATACTCCACGAGACATACCTGGTGGATCAGTGAGTGTTCTGCTGGTTTACTTTTGGTGCGGATTTGGGTTTTATTGCAAGGATTTAAGCAGTCGCCTTTTTCTGCATTCAAGATTTATCAAAGATGTACGCCTGCATTCTCGAACTGTATTTAAAATGAATGGTGCTTTTGTGATTTTTATTATAGGCATATTTTTTACTGCTGCCAACATTGTTGAATGTTTAGGTTGGTTTGCCGGTGAAGACTGTCAAAAAATTTCTCTCGAACCTTTAGTGTGCCATATCATGAGTGCCTCCAGCATTGTGTTTTCAGTGTTTACATTAGTGTGGCATTGCTTAGTGTCCTTTATATTCATGTCCGTGTGCCGTACTCATACCATTGGTAAGTTTTTGTTTTTAATGTGATACATTTCTTTTATTTTGTGTTTTTTATGTATTTTAAATCTATTTTTTGAAGTTAAAATCATACTAAAATTAAGCTTGAAAAGACTCCTGCGCATTTCATATGGGTATTGAGATCCAATCAATCTGGTTGAAATTTTGACTTGTTCTAATTTTATTTTATATCCATCACTGAACAGTCGGCCCATTTTTTTGGGTTTACGGCTACTAAAGTTCAACTCTGTAATTTTGAACCCATCCAGAAGACAAGGGAACTCCTGGATCAAGTATAGGGAGAAAATTAGAAGACTTTTTGTTAGAACTAATCTACACTTGCATTACACAAAGAGGAAAACCACGTAAACCTCCCAATGTTAACTGGACAGCTAGGGACTCTATCCCATGATTCATCTACCACTGAGGATATTTTACGTCAGCACTGTGCAAACCGGATGCAGAATTCGTATCGACCAGCGAATGATGAGATTCGAATCCGATTCACTTTATTGGAAGGCAAACTCACTATTCTCTGAGCCATCAAATGTCTCCTGTTCAAATTGAATTGTGAAAAATGTGTGAATCTTTTACCAGTTTGCTACTAAAAATAAATTTGAAATTTTATTTCTTTGTTGCAGAATTGGTTCCTTTTTGCTTTCTCCATTATCTATATTTATGTACATGTGCTTAAGTTTTTTTTTCACTCCATTTGACCAATGCAATTTAAATGGTTCATGCCGCTAAAGTGAACTATTTCCCTGAACTATTGCTGGATAGAACAATCTTGGAAACTTGTTGAAATTTGTGTTTTACCGTTGTATATTGTTGTTGGCATTGGCATATTAATATGAAATGTATAGAATTTAATTTAACCTCACAATAACAGTAATGAAAATTTTATATTAAACAAAGTATTTATTATGATCGTTACATGGTTGTGAAATATTAAAAAAAAATTTCCGCAACTTGCAAAGATGAAAATTTTTTATGCATTCATTTTTTTTTATTTATTAATTTTTTACTTTATAGTCAAATGATTTAATTTTTCAATTCTAATAATTTTTAACTCCTCATTTGTAAAACAATAAAATTATAAATAATGAGTTTTCTAAATCATTTCAGAATTATCTAAATTTTTTTAAACTTGCTATTACTTTATGAAGTACACTTTTTATGCATCAAAATCTCTAANTTTTTTTTTTTTTTTTTTTTTTTTTTTTTTTTTTTTTTTTTTTTTTTTAAGCATTGCTTTAAAATAGGTTTATTACATGATAGGTAGAAATAAATAAGATTTTTGATTGGGTTAAAATTTATAGCTAAACATAAAGATTATTGTCATTGTTCTAAGATTCATATATTAACTAATAGCTTGATTATAACTATCAATTAATATTATGGTGTGAATATTATTATGTAAGAACAAATTATATATATTTATCATGAAAACAATTTGTATGATTTACATAAGATGGTCTTTTTAGATTGACTTGCAATTATTCTGCAGGATTTATTTTGCACTCTTCATTTTGCAGGATTAAGAAGGTTTATTAAAGAAATTGAATATGATGCTTCAGTAATTGAACACCATTTGTCGTTTTCTCACAGATTCCCGTCAATGAATCAAGAAGATATTTGGCAAGGTAAAAACAATATGTGTTTTTTAAACAAAGCATAACTCTTGCCAATATTTATTATTTACTCTAGCCATTCAGAAAAGTTTTGAAGCATGAAGCTTATAAATTTAAAATGCAGAGAAAATGAAATATTTATTTATTTATTATTTTCTGCATTTTTGAACCAAAAAAACTTGAACATTTTCTTCTAGCTAAGGATTATTTAATGTTTAATGAGAAGTAATTTTTAATAAATTAAATAAGTATAGTTTTTATATGTATAATAACAGAAACAAAAAGGTTAAAAGAAAAGAGAGATTAACGAGGAAAATTATGAAAAATAATAGGTTTTATTTACTGTGTAGGAAGCAGCAAGTACATAAAACTTATAAAATAAGCTAAAAATATGGGAAATACAGTGAAAAATATGTAAAAAATTTTTAAACGAGAAAATTTTTTTTATTAAAAGTTAAAAATATTAAACTTTTAAAAATTTTAACAAATTTAAAATTTCAGAAAATTTTAAAATTAAAAAAATAATACTCAGGAAAAAATATATGATCTTGTCTTCAGCTCGCACGATTATATCCGAAAATATAGTGCTTTCTAATATTGTATTAATACAACCGAAACAAAATATAACAATACAATAGTGTGAGGAGTGCCAACAAATTGTGACAAAAATGGAACTTATTAGGCAAAAAATGTAAATAAAACAATGTAAAATGGAACAATGAAGCAAAATAATATAAAACAAAGAAATACAGAATAAAATTCATTTTATAATATATAAAGCGAGTAGTGAATTCAAATGTACTTGCGCTTAAGGCATTTTTCAAAAATGATTTAAAATATTTTCATGACAAGTTTTCTCTATATTTTTAATTTGTGTATATATATGTGTGTGTGTACATATATTAGTATAAAATGTAAGGAAAAGAAAAATGTGCTGTGTGTTTGATCTTTGCACTTTAACTAGGAATTATTTATTTTTATTTTTTTGTGTCGTAGAATCATTATGGATTGCAGAGGATGAGAACGATGAAGAATATGTAGCTTATATACCCACGTCAAAAAGAACAGCAGGTCTTACAGCAGACCAAAACTTAGTACCTAGAACAGCCACTTCAAATAATCAACATCTAAATCAGTCTGAAGAAATTAATGTGATATTCTCTCCAATAACTCAGGGAATTCAAAATGAAGTTTACTTAAATGCTCAGCATAATGATATTAATTTACAAGAAGTATGTATAGTTTAAAGTGTTTTTATGTCTAATTTTTTCTCTTTTTGTCATAACCATACATAGTTTCAAATGGCAAATATTGTTTTTCTGTTTTATATATGTATGTGAGCAGTCGGGAAGCTTGATGCAATAACATAGTAAAAGCAGGTTCTCAAATTATTCGAGAGTGAAAACTTAAAATCTATATAAATTTGCATCGATTTTCTCCATCACTATTTAGAAAAGAACTGACTTATATTCATTCCCAGATTTTGTATTAATCAATGCAGCTATATTGCAACAGTCGGAAATGCAATATAATTTGAAGAAAAAAAAGTTGCCTTGTTACTGCATTTGTTACTAGTTTTTTAATACCACCATTTGTCCTAAATTTTAATACCTCCATTTGTCCAATGTGCAAATTAATTATTAAAAGAAAAGCATTTTAAGTGTGTATTTATGCCCTAAATTTCACAATACTAATTGTGAACCCATACAAATTGGTTTTATTCACATTTATAAAAGCCTTAAGCTGTCTAACAAATAATAATTTTTAGTGGGCTCTGCCCACTGTTCGTTGATGCTTCACAATGAAAGTGATGCAAGATAGTGATGCAATCTTTCATGGTTTGCTTTGCATTCTTGTAGTTACTAAACACCAATAAAAAACCCTATTTAAGTTAAGGTTTTTGTACAAATCATTATTTAAGATTTTTGTACTTTAAAAGGGTATATTCAAGATTTTAACAAATCTAATAATAGTGACCAAATATCAGGTAAATTATCAATCTTATTTTAGCTTTAATTTGTATGCATGTTTTTTAAAATCTCAACTAAAACATTAATTCATATCTAAATATTCCTGATATACGATTAAATGATTAACTAGACTAATGACGATAATGATGTGTAAGAAAGTAACATAATTATAAATATTTTTTAGACCGTGAAATACTGTAATCAACCAACTAGGCATTATTAATCTATTTCCTATGAGTTTTTTTTAAATTTTTTTATCTTTTATATTAATATCTTACTAAGAAAGTATATATTTTGTTTTTTAATGCACATTTTTTGTATACGAAAAAAAGATAACATTGTCATTTTAATTTTAGGATCAGGATTATGCTTCTAATTCTAAAAGAGTGGATAAGAGAAGTGATTCATCAATGCAAGTTGCAGCTGTTCCACATGCCATGACAAGTGATTTACTTATGCATCATTTTTGGAAATTAAATGTAATTTTTCATTTAGATTATTAATTAGTCTTGTCACTTGGTGCCTCTGTTTCTATTTATTATTACTCATGTGCTCTCAAAATTGCTTTCTTGTTCAATTTATTTCAAATCGCTTCATAGTCTGAGCTTGCGATTTTGGCCTTGGTTTTGTTTAATGCCTCAGCTTTTATGCTTTATACGGTTGAACTCTGATTTAACATTACCCGTGAAAAATAATTTCTCGTTTTACTGTCTTTTCAACTTGTCCCTCTTTCATTTTCTATATCATTAATGTACAGAAATACCCCAGTATTTGTAACATCTTCTAATACTATTTCCCTGAAATACCGATGTTCCGAATCTGCCCAGGAAAAAGTTTTTGAAGACAGTATTGGTAATGTCTTTAGGAAAGATAATTTTATATCAGTACTGACACGGGAGAATACTGACAGCATTTCAGAGCTATGCCTGATACCAACTATATGAAATATTCATAATCTAATAAATATCTGTTGACTTGTGAATCAGACCCAGCTTTAATAGTTGAAATCATCAAATATAGTAGTGAGGAAGATGACTGTAAATCATCAGATCCATCTTCATTTAATGAATGCCTTGAAATTCTTGGAAAGTACTTTATGTACTTTTAAGATAAAAAAAAAAAGGTTAACAGGATTTCTTTCATTAAAATAATGTGCGTTTTTCTACGTAACTAAATAAATTACATTCAAGTTTTAGATTGTGTTTAGCTTTTTCACAAAATATAATTACGTTTGCACGAATTTAGATCTGAGTTTTCATGGGAATTTTCTTGTCCTCGATATAGTGACATCCTGTAATTTACGTAGGTTTTGCCCAGTTAGTCAAGTATCTCTAAATCAACGTTCTACTGTCGCAGTATTATTATTTGATTTCTATTAGAGGCTGTGTTCCTTTGCTTACTAACCCTCCCTAATTTATAAAGAAAAACATGTTTTTTACTTAAGGACAATGAACATTTCATTACGCTTCAAAAGAAATTTATAAGAAGGAAAAAAGTATGAAAAATATGTTTAATCCTCTTTTTGCTTACTGTTTTGTAAATGTGTTGTTTTATAAATAATTATTTTTTTTACTGATATGTGATTTTTTTTCTAACCTGCTATTTATTTAAGTACAGCTAAGGTTTAAAGTGAAATGAGAAATTAAAAATGTTTTGAATATGTATGATTGTATCTAATTTTTAAGTTAACTTATCATTTTGTAAAGTCAATCAAAAATTACTTTAAAACTAAATAAGATACGAGACATCAAAATAAAGAAAATGTAGTATGTTCTGCATGTTTCAAAATTAATGGCAATTTTTTATGTGTTTGATAGATTTATAGAATGTGATTACAATAGTTAATCATTTGTATGAAGTGTTAGAACATTTTTAACAATCAAAATTAAAATTGGTTCTAATCGTGTAGATATTTAGTTTTGTAAAATAAATTTTGTAAATATAAGCATAAGTTTTGTCACAGCATACACTTTTTCTTTTAAAATTTCATAACTAAATAGCTGTTTCTGGAATAAAAGGAATAGTTTTAGTATTGCTGTAATTCAGAAATGTGCTAAATTTTTTATCTTCTTTATGTTATGACTTTTGATTTTGAAAATATATCACCATTTCTGAAGGCTTTGGTAATGCTCATTTGAAAAATGTTGATAGTATTAGCATTTAAAAAAAAAATAATTTAAATTTGAGTTTATTGGAAAAAAATTTCGAGTATTCTGTCAATGAATTTCAATATAAGAGCTTTAAAAAATAATAAAATAAAATAAAATTTTAAAAAGTGCATTTTTTATATATACTAAAAAATAAAATAATTTTATTAACAAATATATTAGATTTAAAATGGGAAATGTAGGATGACTTACTTTTAAAAGTGAGGTAGTTTGTGAAACAAAAAGATTTTATTGCAAAACTGATGTAACCTACATTTTTTATCTAAAGTTTGAAAATAATATTCTTCCCTTCTTGAAAAATGTATAGTTTTGAATATCTTTACTTAATTTTGTTTTTCTTCTTGTTTAATTTTTATCTGTAAATTTCTATTAAGTTGGTAAGTGGTTGATAATTCTATTGGCAATCAATTACTTTGTACTTTTTAGGAAATGATTGCAACTTGTATAGTCATCATACATACAGCTCCAGCTAAAATTTAAGCATTCTAGTTACTCAGGAATTGGTCAAAATTTTTATTGGTCATAAATATCTTTTGTTAAAAGTAATAATAAATGTTGCTTGTACCAATGGGGAAATATTTTAAACGTGCATTGTCATCAAATCCAGAACTTCAGTAAATATTTTAGTTGAAAAGTTATCTAAATTTGAATTCCATCCTAACAGACTCAAACCTTGGTTAATAATAATCTAATAAGATGTGCAAGAAGCTTCAAAGTCTTGAAAAAAATCTGTCCTTTGCTTGAGAGATTCATAATATGTTTCTAATTTTAATTTCTTTGTATTTTCAAAATATCACTTAACATGTTTTTACTATGTGTTCTGTACATTACATATTTTTATATTATCCTAACTCAAAAATTCAACATATTTTCTTCTATTTACTGATGCAGATGGACATTTTGTTTCAAGATTAGATATGTTAACATTTTGAATGGTAGTGTCTGTTTTTTGATCTATACATTATATCTTTAGTTACTTAATAATTAAATATCATAAAAATCTTGAATTTTTTTCTTCTTTTTAGTGTAGATTGAGGTTTTCATCATATGCCCTTCAACGTTGGTATGCTAGTTTTGGTGCTCTTGTTCTCTTACGGTGTTCCACGTATCTTGTACATTGGCTAAGACATGCAGCTACAATATTTGATATGCTTCAGTTTATCCTTCCTCTTATTATATTAGTCGTATTATCGACTGCTATAGCAGAAGTTAATTTTGAAGGACAAAGAGTTTTGAGGGTTTGTAAAACTTTCTTCATTTTTTACTTTCCATAATTATGTTTAGTTCTAGTAAAAGAACCATTGTAAATGTGATAACTGTGGTTTCGTTTCTGTAGATTTGTTTAAAAAAAAACTAAAATAAACTTAACCCTATATTTAAAAATCGAAAATCATTACATGTATAATGAATCTTAGGTCTGGTTACTCACTCATTACTGGTTTGAATAATACTGACTCCATTTAAGAGGGAGGTTATCCCCCAAAAGAAACAAGGTTTTAGCATGCTCTCTTATTTGAAATAAATTGTAAATTCTGATATTACAGCGCTTATTTGAGTCTCATTTTTTTTACCAGTTATTAAAATGTTAGAAATAGCTGGCTAACTATTTATTCATGGTAAATTATTGTGCTAATTTTTTGAAAATTTCCTGAACATCTGAAAAATGTATTTATTTCTTTATTTTTATTAAAAAAGCATAATTATTCCATAAAAAAGGGACATTTTTATATAATTTTTGGACAATGAAAATATTATTGTAAGAAAAACAATTTACAAAACAAAATTTCATCATTAGTAATTTATTTATGTGATACGTTATTAATTTTAAGCTTAAAATATTCAATGAAAATATTTGAAAAATTAAATTTTTAAACTTTAAATAATATGCATTTAAAATGTGGAGTAGTTATGACTCTAAAAGCGGAATTATATTCAATATTCTGTAGCAAAACTTTTGATGATTAATAACATTCTGCAGATAACATCATTAATTATCTACTCTCACTTAGGAAAACTATCTTATTTTTTTAAAACTGCAAATAATTTTATTTTGCAAACTGAAATTTCAAGAAAGTAATCTTAATTAATTAAATAATATACTTTACTTTAAAATATACTTTATATACTTTAAATATACTAATTTAATTTACTTACAAATATACTTTATATGTTGAAACTTAAATAAAAATTACAAACAACATATAAACTTTTCGTCGTAATTCAGGCTTAAGTTGTTCTGTTAGAACGTTGAAGTAAATAATTATGCTCCTAACATGAAATTCTTCTGCAGGGATCTCAATTCTGTGATGCATGCAGTTTTGAGCACTTACTGCTTTAGTGATTATAATTAGCTGATGTTTAGCAGAGACACCATGCTAGATGTGTTGAGTTTTGTCAATTGTTTTATGTCAGTTATTATTGATAGTGTTTTTCATAAATTCTAGGAAAAATAATTTATGGAAAACTTTAAAAGAAGCAGCTTTGCTTCAGGTTAAAAACATTTTAGTATCATCAGGCATGAGATTTTACCTCAGATTGCAAATTTTCCTCTTTTTTAACTTTTTTTTTTTAAATATTTGCCTGTTTTTTGTTATGTTTCCAATGATTCTAATGAAACCCAATCAATTTGCATTTTCTTTATATTTAGAGTGTGTATCCAAAAGAAGAAAGAATCAGGCTTTTACAATACATGGCTTTAAATCCTCTTCAAATGTCTGTAAGTTTTTTCATTTTGTGTTTTTCATTTCCCTTCTCCTTATGTTAGGATTTAATTATAATATCACTATCAGAATCATATGATACATAGCTATATAATGTACATGATGATTTGAATACTTTGCAGCTATATTTTTTGTTGTTGCTAGAGTGCCTAGTTCGGAGAATTTTTGGGTGCTGAATTGTTACTAAGTTCCAGGATTCACTGAAGTAACAGGTTTTCTTGACAAATTTTTTGAATAATTAATTGGAAATTCTGCAATGATATGGTCTCGATTTTTTTCTTACAAAGAACATATCTGAAGTGTGATTGTTTTAGTATAATTTTAAGGCCATCGTATGAAAAATTTGAATTTTCCGAACTGAAACTCATATTATTTCGAATTTTCAGCGTTACCTTATATATTGGTATATAAGTTGATTTTTCATGCCCCCAAAATTGAATGAAAACAGGGGTCGACTTATACACCGGTCATAAATCTGGACTTTCATTGATTGTGAAATATTGATGTATTATAAGCAATGAGATAGATAACTCTGTATCAATTTACCCCTTTCAAAAATCAATTTTAATATATTATTTGCAATTAATTTTGCATTTTTTCTCATTGTATTTTCTTTTCATATTAAGTTTTTTTTATATACAATACTTAAAATTACATTCAGGAAAAAATTAAGAATAAAGAAAGTTAATATAATTTATTCATGAGCATTTCAAAAATATAACACAATGAAAACTTTTAAAACATACCATAAAGCTACAAATTTAAAGATCATCTGTATCGAATTTATTAACGGATATGGATTTATCATTCAGATTTCACCCTATAATGGATTATACAGTAGGGAACCGATTATCCGGAACGATTGGGACCATCGCTATTCCGGATAACTGATTTTTTTGGTTTTCTGAATCGCTACAAAAAGTCGTTTTTTTATTGTCAAACTCAAATATAAAAAAAATATTTGGAAATAATCTTAAAAAGAAGAAAAAACGATGAAGTAATACACTAATGATTATTTCCAAAATGATGGTAAGGTAAACATCTTTCAAAAAAGAAAGAAAAATCCTGAAATCTTATGAGGAAAAAAACATTTTTTTTAAAAAAATGGCGGAAAATTGATCGAATTTCGTTCCGGTTTTTTGGTTTTCTGATTTCCGGAGAACGGGCTCTGTACTGTACTACATCCTCATCTGTTGTACCCACTCAAAATATCATTTTTGCTTCATCCAAAGAATTTGAAATTCCACACTTAAAAAAAATATTTTATGTAGACACTTGAATCCACATTTTGCCATGCTTCTAGTGTCATTTGTCACATGCTGTCCGTAGGAATAATAATCTATATTTTCTTCTAGTTTAATTTTATATATAGATTTATACCAGTTAGTAAATTACAGTTTTCATAATAGAATTTTTTAAAATATTTCATACATTTTTTTTATAATACAAGAGTATTAAAATTAAACTATAGCTTTAATTAAAGTGTTTTGAAGTATAGATGATCAATTTGTGACTAAATTTATAAAAGAATGCATAAATTTTGCATTCCAAATCTACTGATGTTAAATTAATTATTTTTTCTTTCAGATTTACGGATTTGGGATGACTCACGGGACTATCGTCACTGTTGTATTTGCCATGCTAGTGGGTTTTGTTACAAAAATTATCATTACAGAAATGACTAAGTGATGCTCGTTTTGTATACAAATGGATGACTGCATTTTAAATGTTTGTAATTTGTCATTCCATGGCTATGTGATAAAAACATTTCTTGCAATTAATAATTTTGTTGAGCACCAAGGAATAATAGATTGAACTAGAAAATGTATTTATTTAATTTTATCTCTTTATTTAAGTGTTGTTTATTATTCATATGTTTTTTCTATCAAAGATTTGATAAGTGAGTGAAAACTGTATGCTTTTGTTTGTTGTTGTAATGCATACACAAAAAGTGACAGAAATAATAAGTTGTAATGCTGTGAATGGAATATCATTATAAGAGCTCAATATAATTGAATCTCAATTTCAAAACTTTATGGAACCATTTTAAACTAATGATAGTTTTAAATAGTTTAAAATAATGTTAGTTTTAAACTAATGATACTTTTTACCATTTATTTTTGTCATGATAACTGAATTTTAGAAATTAAAATTCTTTTTAACACCAACGAAACATATATATTATGTATCTATATGTATATAATCAGTGTAAAGTATTCATTTAACTTCCATTGTGCAAAGTTTTACTGTATTTAGAAGCTCAAAGATAAGATTATGTCAAAAAAATGCTTTACTTAACTACTACTATTTTTTATTATTATTATTCTGAATAATTATGAAAATGAGAACTTAGACGCGTAGAACATCAATGCAAATTGCATTTATTGAGCATTAGATTTAGAAGTTCATGTGAATGCCAGGGTTGCAAAAAAGCTGGCTTATTTTTATTAAAAAGTCATACTTTTATTTAAAATAGCTCACCTTTATTGGCTTTTTAATATTTTATTTTTCAAAATTAACGTATATGTATTTAAATTTAAATACAAACAGCATACATGTATTAACAAAATTAGCATATGTGTATTAATATTTCACACTATTACAGTTAAAAGTCCCTTATCCGGACTTCTGTTTACCAGAAACAACTATTTTCTGGGCAATTTTTAACAATTAAAGTAAACAAATATATTTTCTTTTAAAGGAAAATCTTTTTTACTCTTGTTTAAAAAAAGTGCTAGTAAAAAATATTTTTTCTTATTTCTTGCTGCTTTATCGACAGCTAAACATTTATTCTACTTCAATAAGCACACTAAAAGAGTTGTTAAAAGGATACTGAACAGTATTAACATAAAACATCAATTCTCTTTCTTGTTTTGTATTATTTTTTTGTTAAATCAGAATAATTAACTTTTGGAATTTGAGGTTCCTTTTATAATGTTATTCTTATCTGATTATCTATGCTAAAAATTCTTGTCATTAAATGGAGGGAGGGAATCTGTGTTTATTTATGAAAGAGAAAGTTTAAATCATCGTTTACTCACTTTAATTTATTTATTCCTTTTTGTTTATGCATATTTTATTGCACTTAACAATCTTTATTTATTTGACATTTGTCCTATAATAAAATGTTTTATGAAATTGACATTAATTATCGTCTATTTGCTATTTTTATTGAATAACGCTTGTGTTGATATTTGTTTACCTTTAAGATCTAATGTCTGAGTCGCATCGATTTCGAATATGGGATTTTCCACTGTATTAATAATAGTTTTCTTTTTTAAGGTTGGGCAATTTAAGGTTAGCACTACACTTATTGAATCTGTTAAAGCATAGAAATATTAATTATATACATTATATTTTTGTTAATAAATTTTTAAACTTTCTGGTAGTTGTACAACTTTATGCATTAAATGGATTGTGCACTAAATCTTTTTTTAAAATTGTTGCCCAGTTTTTATCTCTTTTTATAATATTTCAAAGACATAATCAGATTTTATTTTTGAGAAGCTAAGAATTCTAAACTATATTATAGCTGGAACACATTTAAAGTTAATTTTATTAATGTTTTTAACAAACCTTCACCTTGAAATATTTCCTCATAAAAGCTTGAACATTAACAGATCAGAAATTTGAACAGATTGAAAAGCATAAGCAGAGCGAAATATCTTAGCATGTTTCTATTATGTTCATTTATTTGCATTTTAAAAATAGGGGCAGTCCTTTTTTTAAACTATGTACTGTATGCCATTTCACTGCAGTTTACAAGTTGCAGAGCCATCAACTACTTCTTCCATACTTGTTATGCTATTGTAGCATTACAACATTGACATTTTTTATTCTTTATAAAAAAAAATTTAAACAAAATTTTGTCTGTGATATTTGTCTAAACATGTTTGTTGAGATCTAATCATTTTCTAAAATAAATAAATTCTGTGTTCATTTGTTATATGTTTTTAGAGCTGGTCCTCTGAGTGCAAGTCCTGGCTATTTCCAAACTTTTAACTGCAAGATTTCTTGCATCGAAAGCCGGTTACCCCTGTTATTCAATGGGAGAGAAGAAAAAAATCTCAAAACTTTAAAAAATTTAATGCAGTCTGAAATATTTGTATATTTTTCCTTTTAAAAAAATATTTTAGAATTTCATAGAATCTACAAAATTAGTGATATTTTCATGTTGCAATAAAATTTTAGATGATTTTTTTAGGCCATGGAAATTAAAGCACCTCAATTTTGCGACCATGATTAGGGTAATGTGGTCAGCATTTTGAACAGCATTTTATTCCTAGACAAGTTTGTATACATTGAAGCTGGGTGAGCTTCAAACTGTCCTGAAGATTAAACCCTAGTCTTTTGCAAAGCTTAGTCAGCTATGGTGATCCTTAGAAATCTTCTTTCTTACATAGCAAAAAACCAGTTTGCTATGTTGTGATCTGTTTAACATTTTTATAAAAGAAAAAGCCATGGATCTTACTACTTTTTTTTTCCATTTGTTATTTAAAAAAGGTTTTTATTGTTTAACAAAATCTACCCAGGCAGCATTAATTAATTTTATAAACTGTTAATTATTTTTTAAAAAAAATGTGTAAAGATGGTTAGATTGATGTACATATAAACAAAGTATTATTTAATAATTAGTTTGTGAAGTTTTAAGATGTTTACTAAGCATATATTGGCTGTTAAAATGCAATAAACAAATTTATGAAAAAAATGATCGAAATAAATTTTAAAATGAATAAAATATTTTTTTAAAAATATACTATGAATTCCATTTTTTACTTAATACATTTACAGTATTTCTGAGTAACTCTTTGCGCGTTTTTACCAAAGTGTACATTCTGTTACAATATTTTACAATTTTGACTGTAAAAAAATTGTTATGAATTTTAATAAATATTTTTAGCTACATGTTTGCTAATATTTTTTTTTTTTGTTTAAATTTCTTTTAATGTTGTCATGCTTTGTTCAAGGTGTACTGTTATTGCTGCACTTAATGCATATTTTCAGAAACCTTCTCAAAAATGAAGTAGAATAAACTAGAGGTGGCAAATTAATAATTGACCAAGGAAAAAAGTAGTTTATGAAACTTGGAGAAATGTTGAAGATGAAAGCAAGATTTAACACACATCAAAATCTGTTTTACTGCCAGAAGAAATTGATGATACTGTATAGCCATTTTAAAAGAAAGCCATCAAAATTCGATCTGCAATCAAGTAGGTTTTGATGCTTTTAACTACACTTATTAACATTGGATCAACATTATTTTCTCTCTTAAATTCTCTCCTTAACCTGTATTATTTTTCCAATTGTATTTTTACAAGGATTCTATTAAATCTACATTAAAAGCGGTAATTATGGAACATCTTGTACTTATTAGAAACTGAATTATAAACACTTTTATATTAGGGATTACGTGATAATGTTTAAAACTTTCGCATCTCCACTAATTTTAAAATTCCCCCCATTAAGACCTTTTTCTTTTCGAAAAAAGAATTTTGTTTTGGTTGGGCAAAACGTTAACATATTTCTTAACCGAATTGCCTGTAACCGAAATCGACAATAGTATTGGCGATCTAATTGGGCTACAGGTGGATTAGAGCAGAACTCTCTATCTGTGGCAAAACTTCACATGCTTTCTTCATTAGCACGTGGAGAGTCATAGGTAAAGGAAGTACGTGAATTTCTCTCTTGATTTTTAAATCGATTGAAAAATCTTAAATTGGGAAACTATTTGGAACTGAAACCCAAACCAAAGATAGTTCTAAAGAAAACGTCGTGAAAATTTAAAAAAATATTTTTGACAATTAGATACGAAAAATATTAAGAAAGAGAAAAATAGTGTAGTACACAACTGAGAAGAGGAGGAGAAGGAAAGGGGAAGGGTCAAGAGTTGCAATCGCGAATACGCTAAATGTACAGAGAATTTTTTCGCCTTATATCATATTTGCAACATCATCGATTTCTGCTACATCTGTGCTAACTACATAGAGTGACAAGGACAAAATAGAAAATTTAAAAACTTTTTATTAATATTTTTTAAGAAATATATATGTTTTTAGAAATTTGGGCACCTCTCCTTTGACTTGATATTAATATCAAAGTTCTATATTCAACTAAAGGATCATAAAAAAGTCTTCACAGTATCCGCCAAATGACCTATTAATAATAATTAGAAAACAAAAATCAGCAATGCCTAAAACAAAAATGGAAAATAGGATACATTAAATGTAGAATATACAGAATTTTATTACCCGCCTAATATCATATTTGCATCATCATCGATTTTAGCAATTCCTGTGTTAACTACATAGAGTGAAAGGGACAAAATAAAAATTTATAAGTATTTTTTAGGCTGCGTATATATTTTGAAAAATTTTGACATCCATCAATTGAATTCATATTGACATCAAAGTTTTCTTTTGATCCAAAAAAATATGAAAAAAATCATTAAAGTGTCCGCAAAAGGACTCCGACCTAATTTCAATTTACGACTAGCAATGTTCAACTTCGTAGCCTTGTAGTTTTGAACCCAATCCAGAAGACAAGGGAACTTCTGGATCGAGTATTAGGAGAAATTTGCCTCCGTGGAGAACTTATTGATGAAACTGACCAACATTTACATTGCATTGACAGGTAAATCATGAAAATCTCCCACGGTTAGTCTTACGGTAAGTATTAATAGTTCACCTTTATGAAATCTATTTCCGTAACAGCAGACAGTCCTAAATTCTGCAGCGACTGGAGTTATTTGGTTAGGCAGACAGCAATTTATTTTTATGTTTCTTTTTTTCTGTCCCCAAGATTTTGTTATACCCATTTTTAAACCAATGTATGTATGTACCTCAATGAAACTAAAACAAAAAATTGTATTTTGTAATAATTTTGCTTAATAAATTATTACATTTAAAAAAAAATCGTCTTTTATGAAGCACGTACTTTTTGTTGAGAGTCTTCCTTCATAATATGATTATTTTTTTAAATTTAGAAATCGTTTAAAACGTTTTCAAACTTAATTTTTTTAGCTGATTTATTTAAATCGTGGTCTATTAAGATTCTTTCTTTAGATTTTGCATTACCAATTATGATTAGTTGCTTCATATTCTAGTTGCAGTATCATGGTGAAGACTCTAGCGGCACGGAATTTTGGGAAACATAGAAAAATAATTCAAAAAAATTTCGTCATTTAGAAATTAGAGCTCGAAGACGCAAATAACTCTTTTTTTGTGTACTATCATTGTCATGTTATGTGTATTTTCCCCGCCCTCCGTGCACATAAATATTTTTACTTAATAAATGAAAATTTATTATTTGAAACTATCCCGCATCTGGTACTGATTATTTTTATTATTACCCGGAAAATTTTTTCGAATTTCGTTATTTTTCTCGATTAGAATAGATTTCATTAAAATTTTTCCTCAGCTTAAATATGAACAAATAATGCTCAGAATTCAACTAATATTATTTCCCTTATTTATAACATGTTGAAATTTTCTCATTTTAAGCTTAATTTATGAACAATCTTTTAATAGACTACTTTCAAGCATTTGTAGTGTTCACAAGTAGAAGTAATAATAGTTCTCAAATCATATTTAATTTATTAACGATTAACCTGTCGGTCTCGTAAAATTTCTATAATCAAATGTCTAGACATTATCTAGCAGACATTGGCCACGCCTGTTCACTGAATTATTTCCCCGCATTTATTAATCGTTTTAAGAAAATAGATAACAAAACAAGGAATCATTATAATTTGAGAAAATAGCAAACTATATAAAATGATTTATGTAGCCATTAATAATTAAATCCACCAACAGTCAGTGACATTCAGAGGGCGGAGGGGTGGGAAAAGGCCCGGGCCCAAGCATCCAGTTCACTATTAAGTACACTAAAACTTATATCTGTTATTAGATTACAAGTATTATTTTATTGGGATATTAAATTTTTTATTGGGTAGATACTTGGCCTAATCGAAACATTTTATGAAGATTATGAAATATTTTATGTTAGTATTAATAATAGATTTTTTAAATATTTTTTATCCTTTCAGGCACTAAAATATTAATATTTGAAACCTTTGTTATAGGAGGGTTAATTCATTGAAGATGAATAAAATAGATCGCAAATATCACGATATTTTTTGTCCTCATAGTAAAACCACGTAATTGTAGAAGATAAGCGGGAAAGAGTATTTTCGACTTTCCATTTCTCCTTGTTATTTCAATGGAAGAAAATTGATGCCATAATTTCAAAGCCAAAAACCTCAAGAAATGGTGGTTTGTTACTTTTGTAATCATTCAAGAATTTTTGGGACTATTTGACTGAGCCGTATGTCATTACGCTAATTATAAGCAGTCATTTTAGCTGAATGACATACATCTATAAAACTACCAAATCTAAGCAAAAATAAAATCAAAAAGTACACCGTATTTTAACTCCAAAATAAACCACCTGTTACGACCCCTCACAAAAAAAAACAATACAATTTTAAGACAAGAAAAATATGATTGATGAATTTATAGAGTCATCTGGAAAGAAATACACTAAGGTTATAAGTTCATGCAGAAAACTCTTATTTTGAACACGAGGTTACAAACGTACACATCTAATTCTCGATAAGGAAAAGAAATCGATATTTCACCTTCTTTTAAACCATGGATTAAGTTAAGGATAATCCAGATTAAAAATAATTGGTTCTGTTACTTTTTTTACAGTCATTAAGAATACAATTTGTTTCATATTTATTTAGCTGTAACATGGTAATTTGATTAATATACTTGAGACTTTAGCTATAGGGTGATTCATTGTTAAAGGAAAAATGCTTGTTTTAAAAGGGCAAAATCGTTCAAGTCCTGTTCTTGGAGTAATTTTTTTGGAATTATCTATTTGACGCAGAGTTTTAATTAAACATATTTTTCATACTTTTTTTTCTTTATTTTGTATTAGTTTTGGTAATAATAAGTGTATAATATTATATTGATAGTTTATGGTTACGAAATATAGCATGAAACACCAGTGTCTGTTTTTGCTTTAACGGTAAAATCTTCCATTCGCGGTACAATGATTTTTAAAATTGGCACTCATCTCATTTGCAATTATTTAGATGTAAGGAGACAGTTATTCATCATTGAAATTTCTTTAATTTACTAAATCAATTATTGATACATTTTTGAATGTGAATGCAAAGAAATCGCATTGCTTTTTTTGGATAGTATATTTTAATAAAAATATAATTTTGATAATTTAAAAGACTTTTTTTTAGTAACTATTAGATTGTTTTTAATAATTAAGAAAATACTAAAATATATTTTTAGTTGTAATTAGAGCGTCAAAAAAATATAAAAGGGACACTGTTGTTCCATCTGCGTCAAAGGGATTAAAAAAAAGCCTAGTTTCTGTCGCCATATGCACTGTTCAGTTCAGATGTTCTAAGCAGGGATAAAATAACATTGCGTAGATTGGAAAAAAATAAGCGACTAATAAAATAAGTAATAAATGGTTGATAGAAAATAAATAACATGGAAAAAATAAATACAAAAAAATATATACGAAAAAAACATATACGAAAAAAATATATTGTAACAGATAAAAATATATTGTTAAAGTAACACAAGTGTTCCATCTGTGTTAAAAAGGGTTTAAAAAAGAAAAAGAAAAAAAAAAACCTAATTTCCGTTGCTATATTGGAAAGTACAAATGTATTAAATAACAATGTTCCCATGTTCTAATGAGGGATAAAATAACATTGTTTATGGAACAACAAACGATATTTCATATATCAGTCATTATAATAGAATGATCGGATTATTGGGGGGACGTATTAAAGAGCGTAGACCTTTATAGATTTATTTAGTACTTTTTGTCATTTTTTAGACACCATAATATTATAATTTACGTACAATTACGCACAA